AATTTAAGTATCGATTTATAGTGGGGATGAGAAGTGATGAACGACAGCGATGATGGTTGTGATGGGTAGCAATAACCGTGGTGGGGGCGAGGGCAACGGCAACGATGGCAGTGGTGGTGGCAGCGGTGGTGGTAGTGGCGGCAGAGATGGTGGTGGTAGCGACGATAACGGTGGTGGTAGTGGCGACGGAGGTGGTGGCGGTGGCGGTGGTGGTAGTGGTGGCGATGATGGAGGCTGTGGTAGTGGCGATGGTGGTGGTGGAGGTGGGTGGTGGTAACGGCGGCGGTGGTCGTGGTTGTGATGGCTGTAGTGGTCGTGGTGGTAACGTCGGTGACAATGGTGGTGGTGGCGGTGACGATGAAAGTGGTAGTGGTAAAGGTAGTGGTGAGCAGTTTCAAACACTATTTTTTTTTTAAAAGTATTTATGATAAATAAATTATAAAAGTAATTTTAAAAAGTCACTCCAAACACACCTTTAAGACTCTATTTTTGCTATTAAATTTATGGTGTTAATATTAACCGTTAGATTAATTTTAAAATAATATTTAAAACAATCTCAACCGCGAATAACAAAAGTCATTTTGTTTATCTTTTGAAATTTGAATTGTAAACTACTTTATTATATATACTAGTTATTGTCTGTGCCTAAAGACACAGAATAATATAAAATAGTAAACAATAAACATATTTGTATTTATATCCAAAATCAGAGAAGAATAATTTAATTATCGATTGTAGTGGGAATGGTAAAAGACGATAATGATTGTGGTGGGTGACAATAACTGTAGTGGCGGAAACAATGGTGGTGGTGGTGGCTGCGGCAATGATGGTGGTAGGGGGTGACAGTGGGCATAGCGGTGGTGGGGGGTGGGTGTGGTTGTGAAGACCCTGCCCCATTACCGGGACCCTGTCTTCCAAGGGTTAACCTCCCATTACCGGGATATCACCACCCTCCACCAAAGGATTTCGGCTAACCTGTGGGTCAAACCCCCACAGTAGCCTTTACCTCCGTCCCACATCGGGGAAGGAGTCGTCTCCCCACCCCCATATAAGCCGAAGCACCATATGGAAGCAGTACCCAAGTAGCAACTTGGGTATTGCTTCCATATGGTGCTTCGGCTTATATGGGGGTGGGGAGACGACTCCTTCCCCGATGTGGGACGGAGGTAAAGGCTACTGTGGGGTGCTACTTGGGTACTGCTTCCATATGGTGCTTCGGCTTATATGGGGGTGGGGAGACGACTCCTTCCCCGATGTGGGACGGAGGTAAAGGCTACTGTGGGGGTTTGACCCACAGGTTAGCCGAAATCCTTTGGTGGAGGGTGGTGATATCCCGGTAATGGGAGGTTAACCCTTGGAAGACAGGGTCCCGGTAATGGGGCAGGGTCTTCACAGTGGTAGTGGTGGTGGGGGTAGCGGCGGTGACGGGTGGTGGTGGTGGTTAGGGTGGCGTCAACGACTGCAGTAAGGGTGGCAACGATGGTGACGGCTGTGGTGGCAGTAAAGGTGGCGGTGGCGATGGTGATGGCATCGGCAATGACAATGGTGATGACTGCGGTAGTGGTGGTAATGGTGAAACGGTTTCAAATATTATTTTTTAAAAAAATATTTATGAAAAATAATTTTAAAAAGTCACTCCAAACACACCGATTTATTTTTCTATTAAATTTAGGGTGTTAATATTAATCGTTATATTAACTTTAAAATAAAATTGAAAGCGATCTCAATTACGAATAGTAAAAGTCATTTTGTTTATCTTTTGAAATTTGAATTGTAAGCTACTGTATTATAAAGATTTTTAGTTGAACGATCAGGGGTATTCAAGTCAGCTTACGTGTATCTCGACTAATTCTCCCTCCGGTTCAGTCAAAAGCAGACCATCAGCACTAAGACTACGGTATTCATGAGGTATAAATCTATTATGGCCTAGGCCTAAAGAATTGTCAAAATTCAAACTCATAACATCTGAATTTATAATTTATTCATGTTACCGCTTAGAGTTTATTAGATATAATATCATGTACACCACTTAGATAATACCACTACTATATTTTGCTTTCTCTCTTTATCTTTAGATGTCTTAAATGTAAACCAAAAAAATATAAAAAAACTTAAGGCAATCGTTTTCATTCTCTTCTTATTACCATCTCAATAAATTTTGTTTTTTTTTTAAAAATAAAATTATGTTTATGAACATATTTTGGACATTGGGTGGAGTATAACAAGTTTTTTAATTTAAATTAATCTACGGGGCCTGGAGTGATCATGAAAACTAACGAGCCTAGATCCAACTGGGTTAAGCCCAATTGATGAGATAAGTCCAAGTCAGTTAAAAGCCAGGTCAAGCTCAACCTATGAATTTGGGTCAGTCTAAAGTTCAAGGAACCCAAAAGGATTAGAGTACATAGAGAGTAATTACTAGAATAGTCACTCTCCTAATTCAAGATTATCTCAAATTGTACCTATCCTAGTTGTAATTATCCTCTCCGAAAAGGTAGAAACCTATCATCTACAACCACCGCCTCAATTAAGACCCTGTACCTATAAATTGTAAGTCATCTCCATATGAGAAATGCATCTCTCTCTACACACCTTAGACAACTATCTCTCTCACAACTACGAAGAACATACCCTTGTCCTCTCTCTCACTCACACCTACTACTTCATCAATAAAGATCACCGTTCATCGTTGCCGGTTTCAAAGTGGAGTAAATCAGTCTGACTGAACCACTATAAATTTGTGTATTGCTTGTGTCAATCCAATATTTATTTCCTTCGTTATTTGCTCTATTGATTGCTTTCACTAATTTTCTTGAATCATACATTCGACTGTTGATTGCAATGTTATCAGAACCGAATCGATCATTGAATTGGTAAGGGGATCAGATCAATGGTTCACTGGTTTAACCGGTTAAACTGATTATATAATAAAAAATATAAAACATAATATTTTAACTAAAAAAATACATAAACATAATATGTTATTGCTCAAATGAAATGTATTAAATGCATTTTCTAAGAAATTCAACCATACAAACAAAAGTGGGTGAGAGAGTCGTCTCTATGTGTGTGTAGCAGAGAGAGAAAAAGAATGGGGGAGAGGGTTACAGTTACAACACTCAGGAAGCAAAAGGAAGGGATCCTGAGAGGAGACTCAGTCAGATCAGATGAGTGGAGTTTTTTGAACCTAGTTCTCTCTGGCCAGACGAGTGAGAGGAGACTCAGTCAGATCAGCTGCTCGATCTAGAACAGAGGAGGTGCTGGTCTGTCGCCTGAGTTGTTCGTTGCCGCCTGAGTTTTGTCGTTTGTTGTCGTCGTTCGTTGCATGGAGCTGGTCGCTTGGACCTGGTCGTCTGGGGGTGAATATTGAAGGAAGAAGATAGAATTGAATTGAAGATTTAGGGCAAAATAGCCCAAAAAAGAGGATTTTTTTAAAAAAAATATTTTTTGACATCCAACCGTCCGGTTTTAAAAAACCCTCAGATTAACAGGTTTTATGAAAAAATCAGCTAGCTTAACAGTTTTTTTCCGGTTCGACTGCTTGTACAGTTCAACTTAAAAATCGGACCGACTTAGGTTCCGATTTGCAGTTGGATTGATCCAATCAATCGGCCCAGTTCAATTCTGATAATACTGATTGATTGTACATAATTCATTTTTGTGCATCATAAAAAAGTCATGTCTCTATATTTTTCGCTGTCCCTTGTGGATTGAACTAGTGGCACAATTAAGGATGTTCTTTATTTGAATCATTCAACGTGTCATCATTAATGTTAAATTTTTAATTGTATATTATTTATCAAGATCAACTTTAATATGACATCATCATAAAAGTTAGTTTGGAGCATAAGATTCAAAGTAAATTCTCATTTTTCATTATAAAAATTACTTTGTGACACTATAAGGATCCATTATTCTCTCCTTTATGATATGAATGCAATGAGTATGAATGAATTACCATACAAAAAGATTAGTTAATTTTTCCTAACTTTAATCACGCTATGAATAGTGTATTTATACGTACAATCATTAATAATACGTATTGTATAAATCATTTTTTTTTACAAAAATATAATTTATTACTTTAAATTGTTAACTTTTAAGATCTGCTAATTCGATCTACTTTGATGAATTAATTTATATTTTATTTTACTTTGTCTGTGTGTTTGTACTGATGTTTATAATAACCTTCTAATACATAGAGCAGTGCGATGGACCGGGCCCAAGTCCCTTGGAAGGGGGCGTCTATTTGGTTAGAAATGTTCTTGAACTTATAGTGGATTTTTCTATGGATACTCTGTAGGACATTTTTATTGATATTAGGGATTTAAAAGAAAATGTTTTTGATTATGGATTTTTGAAGGGTAAAGGCTAAGCTATTTGGTGAAAGAGGTTGATCTAGCAATGGCGAGAAGAGTATATAGACCCAGGCCTTGTTGCACCACCAGACATTGCTGTCGCGTCAGTTGTTTGGGAATGCGTAAACCTTAAAAAACAGAGTTGACTCAAATCAATGAAATTATTACCTCAAGTGATTCTAGCCCACCTCCAAATGGGCCATGTTAGTGTGCTTAGTTTACTTGGAGGCCCAAACAGCCAAATCTAGATAAGGATTCTAGAAAAGGATGGATAGAATGGATAATGGACCAAAACAGGGGCTTATAAATATCCACAAGCATTTGATTTGGAGGCCCAAGCATCCAAATCTAGATGAGGGTGGATAGAATGGGTAATGGACCCAAACATGAGCCCATAAATCTCGCCACGGGCCCGCTTCTAGAATTATTCCATGCTTGCACAAAAAGAAAAGCCGTAAATTGAGACACCGACGTAGATCCACATGCACCTTAATAATCTGGACCATCGGTTTCACCGATTTTCCTGGAGCACCAATCCTGGCCCTACGATTGTCCTGATCTTCCAATAGCCATTCACGTCTTGTGAATGTAAATTATTAGAACCGCCTGAGTAATCACACGGTAGAACATAAGAGGGTTTAAGAACAAAGGGTGGAGTGTGAGACCTTCCTCGCTTTTGTCGTAAGTTAACTGGCACTCTGCTCTGCTTCTAGGGTTTTCCATTTCCATTTTCTTTCATCTTCTATACTTCGAGATGAGGTAATCTTTTCTCTGTCAAATGATATTTTTGGTTCTGAGTCTGTATCCCTCCGGTTGATTCTTTTCAGATCGTACAATTTTTTTCTTCTTTTATTTTCTTTTTAATGTCTCGATCCGGTTTTGGTTGCTTTTCTTGAAGATATGATCATTGTTGATATTGAAAATAGTTCAGTGTGTATAGACTTTAGATTGGAGAGAAATTCGAGAGCAAAGAAAGTAGAAGTCGCTACTTGGCTTTCAGCTTGTGTAGCAATGGCTTAACTTTGTTCTTGTCGTATCATCTGTAGTGATTTGGACAAATTTGTAGGTTTTTCGTTTTGTGTTCATTGTTAGATTTAGTCTTTGTTTCAGTTTACAAAGTGGTTTCTGATATTCTTTGGTACGGCTTTTTTTGTTCTGTTTTGGAATATTACTGTATGAGAAGAGACTCGATACGTATGAAAGAAAGAGTTTATGTGATCGGTGCACTACCCGTATCCTTGTTTGTTTCTCGAGCTTATTGAATTTTTTCTGGTGACGTAAGCACAATGTGGTACTTGATTTGATTTGGTATTAACTACACAGTAACTTCTTTATGATTTAATTGTGATTCATATATTATTTCGATTTGTATTCAGTAGAGTATATATTTTTCAACGACAGTTGCCTTTATCATTTGGACAAATACAATTACAACTATCTTTATGATGGGTTTCAAAATATGCAATTTTTTAAAATGGGATATCAACATGGGGAAACAATTACCCTGAAATTGGAGTTGCTCGAATAAGTGCTTTTTATGTGCTCGTATTCTAGGGTACTATTATGTGATAAGACTTGTGCACTCTTGAACTATCTAATCTGTGTGAACTGAAAGATTGTGTTACTTCCTTCCGCCTTTTGGGTATTGTTCATTAATATTGAAAATATTGTTTGCATTTCGCCTATATTAGTGTCACTGAAGCTGGCTGGGCTAGGCATACTACATCTTTAGTTGATAAAGTGTTTCTAGATGCCAATTTCTGTAGTTACCTTGTGAATTTGTGATAAGATGTATGTTAACTTTGTATTCATGTGTGACTAGTTGTTGGGGATGAATTTTGGACATCATTGTCATCCTGATCTTGTATTTTTTTTCTTTCTTTATTTTTTATACTATTGTTTGCCAGTGAGTAAGCTCTATTGTACATTTATTTTGACTTACAGTCGGCACCCTGAGGTAAAGTGGGCCCAGAGGCCAGGCAAGGTTTATGTTACAGTTCTATTGCCAGATTCCCAAAATGCGAAGGTCAATCTTGATCCAGAGGGAGTTTTTACATTTTTTGCTAATGCTGGGGCAGGGAACCACGTCTATGAATTGAAGCTTGATCTTTTTGATAAGGTTAACGTAGAGGTGAGAGGTGGTTTCCTTCATTTTTGATTTTCTATTGTTCTTTTTGAAAACTTTGTTGGATGAACCACCATATAAATTATAGTCACTACAAAGTTTTCCGTCATTTGCCTTACTCTTTGATGGCCATTTCTCCAACTTGCACATGACGTCAAGAATCTAGCTATTGAAAGCGTGTATAAAACTGTCATGATGGTATTTGAGGGTTGAATTAATGAGAAACAATGTAGAGGTAATTTCTTTTCCTGCCTTTATGATAATGAAAATGAGTTGGATTTATTCTTTAGGGAAATACATTGATTGGCAAATTGCATGCTTGCCGCTGTTGGAGTTGTACCATGAAAATCTATTGCTTTCTTCAATGTGAATGTCAATTTTCATTGTTATAGGAGAGCAAAATAAATGTGGGGGTGAGAAGTATATTCTGTGTTTTGGAGAAAGCAGAAAACAAATGGTGGACGAAACTACTGCGCGGAGATGACAAGGCACCGCACTATGTGAAAGTAGATTGGGATAAATGGGTGGATGAAGATGAGGATGCTGGTATTTTACTTTGTATTTTGTACTTCCGAAATTTGTTTTGTAGGATTTTGTAGTAACAAATCACTTTATAACTTCGAATTTTACTTCACTTTGATTAGGTCCTGCTGACTCAGATGTAGGAGGCATGGATTTCTCTGTAAGGATGTGCTGGCTCATGATCTTTCTGGTTTCTGATTTCCATCTCTGAAACTTGTTGTTTATGGTGATTTTTATTGATGTATATTACAGAAATTGGGCGGCATGGGCGACATGATGGGAGGCATGGGCGGCATGATGGGCGGAATGGGCGACATGATGGGAGGCATGGGCAATGATGGTATGGGTGACGATTTTGATGACAGCGATGAAGAGGGTAAGAAGTTGAAAAACATTCTTATTTGACGTGCGGACTTGGTGCGTTATTTGTTGACATGTGTTTTGTCTTTTGTCTAGTTCTAGGCTAATAAAACGAACGGTGTGGTATATGCCTTCTTTTTTTTTGTGGGGACAGTTGGTGGTGGGTGGTTTTTGGTTAGGTTAGAGTGCACAAGTTGCCTAAACTTTCTATTAAAGTTGTGGTACTCAATGTTAGGGACTGCTTTTTGTGATTTTGTTAATTGTAAGCCTAAAGCGCAACATGAATATACATGTCTTAAAAAAATTGGGCAACCAAGCTGGGGGGATTTTCATCTGTTCTTTTTCCTCTCAGGAAAGAGGGGGGGGGGGGGGGGAGAGAGAGAGAGAACATAGTGCTGCTAGATTTGAGCAGCTTTTCATTTTATTGAGATGGAGTAAGTGTGAGTATGACTGAAAAATAGAGGTAATCCCCTTCTTCCTCTCTGATCTCTTCATGCTCTGTTACGCGATGGAAACATACTTTTCAATGTTAGGTAGCAGCTGTTAGATATTGTCACCCTTAAATTTTGACGTTATGCTTTGACTGGTATAGCATTGTGGTTTTCATCTTATTTCCTTAATAATGTCTTCGTCATGGTGTTTAGAAATCTAGGGGACCTTGCCTGCAGCTGCCTTCGCCTTTTTTTTTTTTTTTCCCTTTTTTTGGTAGAAGAATTTTGTTAAAGAAGAGAATTGAGGAAAGAGATACAAAATTTTGGAACAAGATATCCTCAAGAAAAAGAAAAAACAAAGGAAAATACAAAGTAGAAGGGGAAAAAAACTTAAGGACAACCCCATCCAATTTTGTTGCAAATTTGTCAACAGATAGGATTAGGAATTCCGCTGGTTCTGGAGCTTACCTTATTATTAAGGGGAAAGGGCATTTTTATAGATTCAGAGGTGAGTAAGGGGGGCGGAGCTTGAGGCTTCTCAGCCGCAAGAACAGGGAACAAATCCTATTTATCTGAAATTTCCAGTGGCTTTGGTCCATGAGAAACGAGAAACACAATTTTTCCTTAAAAAAAAAAATTTTAAGGTACAGAACCAACACTGAAAATTTGTGTATTCTACTCGGGGACTTCAGCTTCTTTATCCTTTCCAAATCCTAAAACTTGATCTTCAATTGCTCCACTAGGAGGCAAACTAAAGCCTTATCAGTAGCATTGAGCCAAGCTATTCTACAAAGCGTAAATGAAAGAATAGTGAATAATTAAACGAGCATTGTCATACAAGTTAAGCAAACATCAAGAAAGCTTTAGAAGATCTTCTCAGATGCTGCAACGACTCGTTAGTATTCACCATTTTACAGATAACCTTTTTACAGATAATGGACCAATTAAAAGTATCGACATTCAAGTGGAGTTTTGGTCTTAATTGAATGTCTCACTGTTTTCCTGTCTTGGCTTTGGCTTGGGTGTTGTTTGGCTGTTTCCTTCCAACACACCTTCATTCTAAGCTCTCCCTTGAAACATGCCATGGAGTTTGCAGTATTTGTTGTCAACTATCAAAGTTTCGAGCTGTCCCGAAGATAGTTTATCTTAGAGTTGAGTTGCCTGCTGTTTGAAGTCTTAGATGGCCAGGTAGCAGTATGAGAGGCTTAAAAAAGGTCGTAGCCAATGGGGTGTTGCAAGTCATTCTTGTGCGTTACCAAGGAATTTTTGTGATTGTAATCACAAGCAATTATCAAATACTGGGTCGACAGATATGTGACAGTTTCCCTTCTTTTTTTTTTTTCCCCAAGTGTAGATAAGGTGTTGTCCTTAATAATTATGATTAATTTGCCCCTGATTGAGATGAAGTAGTCCAGTGGGGTGTCATGAGAAGCTTAGAGTTTTACAAGATTTTGAAGTTCTGCCCCCAGTGATGAGTGTGTTAGTCTGGTTGATCTGGTGGATGGTCCAGTGAAAATCCCAGATATGGTAAGATACATATGCATTTCGGGGAAGTGTGCTAATAGAACATTGCTTTTCTCAATTTCATGGATTTTCCTTCCCCACTCCTCTCCTTTCCTTTTCGATATGTATGCATATATCTACTCATGCCTATGTCTTATTATGAGTGATGTTTATCTTTTTGCCAATGTAGATGAAGAAATTACCAAGCCTGAAGAGGAAAACACTGTTAAGGCAGGAGAGGAAGTGAAAGCAGGGGGACTCGTCATAAATAAAGTGGAAGAAACTCCAGGAGGGAAAGCAGAAGCTGGGGCGAGCACCTGAATGATATAGTTCAGGACGTCATTGCAGCATATCTTTGGCTTTAAGCTTTGACACTTTGGTCTTTGATGATTTAATCAAGACATGCTTTTTCTAACAGAGTGCCCAAATTTTCGTTTGGACAAATATTGTTCTATCCTTTCTATTTGAATTTGGGTGTTGTTTTATTAACAGGGTGCTATTATGGATGATAATCCGAAAGTGAGTAATGTTGGAAAGACATTATTATTTATTGGCTTTCACTAGTATGGGCCATTCTATCTCATGTATTTGTTTTTTTTTTGGTTACTGTTGCAACTTTTTAAGCAGGTGCTCAGCTGAGAAAAAAGTTCAACTTTTGACTCACGTGTGTGTGTGATAGGATACAAGAGCAATACAGGACATCAGGTACTGCCCAGTGCTGGGATTCTAGCCTAAGACCATTAAGCTTCTGTAATTTGATTGACCGAGGGACCATGCCCCTGGCTCCGGCTGTGTCTATGAAAATTTCGTGGATATAATTTACGCTTTTCAGTATAAACTTACGTTTTTCAATATAAAAATGTGCTTGCAAAATATGTTTTCTAAATAATAACTTTGAAATTGAATCTTTTTACATGCTTTTATAGCAGAAACTGTGGGTTTAACCTATAATTTAATGTAAATTATGGTATATTGAGGCATAAGTTAGAAATTATTGTATAGATAAAAATAAGTGTGGAACGAATGATAAGTTGAATATTTTTTTTATCTGGAAACTTTGGGGGTGGGGGTGGGGGTGGGATGGAATTTTGGGTTCTCCAAATGTGGTTGGGGTCAGAAAAAAAAAACCGACCATGGGTCTAGCAACCTCGGTTGTTTCCTCGAACTTTTTTTTACAAAGTTACCATGCAACAACCAATGCGTGACTCAAGTTTTTTACCAGCAAAAATAAACAAATAGGTTTTGCTGTAATTAAGGCGTGACCTAAGTAAATTTAACTAGAGGCCAGTGTCGATGAAGACCTTTCGCAAAAGATTTTGGAATTTTGATCAATAGAACAATCATTCATCTTTTAGCTGTTCTTGACGTCGCAGGGTGCTGATACACATATATGGACGAGAATATCTTAGTGTTAGTGTGGATGATTTGTCTTTAATTGGATCATAAAGAAAATTAATCGAGCTATACGTAAATTAGTCTGACAAAAAATAAACCAAATTATTTCCTTTGGCATATGTAAAGAAAATCAAACCTTTCCCTGGTGGGTAAAAAAAAAAAAGGTTAATTGTACTAGAAGTCTCAAAAGTATAGAGTTTTTCTCATTTTGGTTCTCAATGTTTCAATTTCATCATTTTAGTCCTTTAAATATTGAATATGTTTCTATATGGTCCTTCAAGCAGACAACGTCCAGATTATTAACGATTTTTTATCATAAACTTGTCACGTAATAGTTAAATATAGACAAAAAATAATTTTGATAGCTCTCAAACAAAATTTGGCTAGCTCTTGACAAAAAATTTGTAATATGGATAGCTTTTGACAAAAATTTGGATAACTCATGATCAAAATTATGTAATTTAAGTAAGTATTTAATCAAAATTTTAGTAGAAATTTGGTTAAAAGTTATCCAAATTATTTTTTTGTCTCCATTTAAGTATCATGTGACAAGTTTTTGATAAAAAATCATTAGTAATCTGAACACCGTCTGCTTAAGGGACCATATAGAAGTATATTCAATACTTTAGGGACCAAAATAATACAATTGAAACATTAGGGACCAAAAAGAGAAAAACTCTATAGTTTGGAAACTTCCGGTGCAATTAACCCAAAAAAAAATAAGAAAACCCTCTGATTAACGACAAAGAAAAGCCGCACAACCCCAACCCTAATAAAATCCGAATAATACTACGTAAACTTAAAAATTAGAATTAATAATCTCAATTATTGAATAGATAGTAGATCCCAATAAATACTGAGACCTATAGTAAAATTAATGGTTGAAATTATTAAATCTAATTTTTAAGTCTACTTTTTAATTTCCCGTTGCTTATAAAACCCTAGTTTACAACTCTCCTGCCTCCGACTCCAAAGTCCCAAGTATTACGTAGTAGAGAGAAAGTGACGAAGAAACATGGAAGCGACTGATATGGATGTGGAAGAAAAGGAGCCTATTCTCAATTCAAACCCAATCAAGCGATTCGGACTCAAAAATTCTATTCAGACCAACTTCGGCGACGATTACGTCTTCCAAATCGCTCCCAAGTACGATCATCTAATCGAATTTTATCTTTCTTCAGTTTTCTTTTGTAATATATTGGAGTATGTGTAGATGATATTCACGTTCTTTGATTTGATTGAATGATGAAAAATTGTTTAATTTGCTTAGAATTGGAATTTAGGGATGATTGGACATCGATGGCGGTGTCTCTATCAACAAACGCAGTGAAATTGTACTCACCAGTGACTGGACAGTACTTCAGAGAGTGTAAAGGTCACACTTCGACTATCAACGAAATCTCCTTCTTAGGTGCATCGGCTCCTCATGTCTTCTACTCTTGCTCTTCTGATGGTACTATCAGAGCTTGGGACACTCGCTCTTTCCAGCAGGTCCCCCTTACTCTCTCTCTCTCTCCACACACACGCACACACACGCACACACACGGGAATCTCAGAGAGCAAGCAATTCCGATTGATTTTAGATATTGCACTGCAGGTGTCTTGTTTGAGCGCTGGTCCTTCCCAAGAGATATTCAGCTTCTCGTTTGGCGGATTGGGTGACAATCTTCTCGCTGCAGGGTGTAAGTCTCAGGTATAATGTGTTATGGCTGGAGCTTTGATTACTTTTAGATACAGAAAGTGAAGTAAAGTTTCTGTATAGATGCCTGTCTCTTGTTTCTTTAAACTACGGAAATATGAAAAACGCATGCTTTAAACTGGAAAATATTTCAAATTGTGTAGTGATGCTAGCTCCAGTATGGTTTAATCCTGTGAATCAATAATCAAGGCGATATTCTTGAGGGATTAAGGCTATATTCACAGGTGACAAAAAAAATGGTTTAATACAAGAGTAGTGGAAGGTGTAGTTCATTGCGTGCCTTATGAGATTTATACCATCATCTCATGGTTTTTGAATGTGAGAAATAAAAGAGAAAAAGGAATAGAGCGAGAAAGAGAACATATGGAATTAGAAGATATTCGCCATGGAGGTCAAAGAGTATAGAGGTCCGTTAGCCATCAACTACTGCCATTATTCATATCAAACCACTAGAAATTCATACAAGCTAAATCTTCTTATGAATAATTAAGAAATTTGATCAAATTGCTTCATTTTTTTATCTCTACCCAAATGTTTACTTTCATAAAAAACCAACTCCAGATAAAAGTAGTGGGTGCTTTCTTAAGAAATTAGAAATAAAACTAAATCGCATCTAGTTTGAGATGAAGAAGATAATGTACGTAATTTACGCATTCCAAACTGATTATATGCAGGTACTCTTCTGGGATTGGAGGACCAACAAGCAGGCTGCATGCTTGGAGGAATCTCACACGGAGGATGTTACTCAGGTGTGTTGTGAGTCATTTTGTTTGCAGATCCATGAGAAATGATGATAATAATTTCCCCCCAAATTCATATTTGTCAACATAGTATACATATGGAGGATAAGTTTTTACCCAAACTGCCCTGCTACTACCCTCAATTATGGCAACCAGAATTAGTAATGGTCTTTTTCAAGTTCACTTCACATTGATTTTATCTTACCAGACCCTTTCTCTTCTATGTTTGTGTTGGATTCTATGGATCCTGAATGGTCACCACCTGATATTAGAAATTGCATTCAATATTTTGATCTCTATTGTGACCTGGAGATCATGGGTTTGAATCGCAGAAACAATCTCTCTACTTGTAAGGGTAAGACTGCATACATTTAACCTTTCCCAGACTCTGCAATGACAGGAGTCTCACGCATTGGGTACACCTTTTTTATATTGATCCCTATTGTAGGTTGACCCAAAAAAGGAACCACCTTGTTACAACTACTTTTCTAACTCGGGGTATACCTTGCTCCTTTCCAAAAAGAAGGTGCAAGGTCTAAGCCTTGGTAGAAGGACATCTGCTATGTTTAGTTTGGGGAGGGCTACCCCTTGTTTTGTAGCTTACATTGTTGAACAAAACAGTGGCTACAAGTCATTGGAATTAAACTTCTCTTTCTACATGCTTTCTATGCATGAAAGGCTATGTTACTATTTGGGAGTCAATGGGGAATTGAGCATACTGCATTACATATATGCTTTGTTTTCCTTCGCTTTAGCTGTAGGCTTGGTTTGTAATACTATTTTGCTGGCCTCATGCATCAGAGTTCCTGCATTGTTGATGTGCCATAGGATATGTTACCAGAATGTGTGATCAGAAGCTTCCAATGTTGATTTATTAATAATGAATAATTGTTCTTGTCTCTTTATAATGTAATCTTCTTCATGGTAGGGTGGACTTCTTGTCCACTTTTACTCTATATTTCATTATTAATGGAAGTCTTGTTTCTTATCAAAAAAATTTATGAAGCTGTTCTGAACAATTTGTTTGGGTTGTGATTGTGTATAGGTTCACTTTGTTCCTGACCATCAAAACAAGCTTGTTTCGGCGTCTGTTGATGGGTTGATGTGTATCTTTGATACCAGTGGAGATATCAATGATGATGATGATTTGGAGTCGGTAAGTTCACAAACTTGCTATCTTTCAAGTTTGCTTCTTTTTATTTGTATTCTGTTCATCAAATTTCTAGAGATGGATCAGTTTGCACTAGCCATATTACTTTGTGCTTCTGCAACTAACGGTAGGATGTGTTTGTGTCTGTTAGATCAGATTAGTTTGAAAGGTCTTTATTTCTAAACGAGTCAAGCTCACCTTGACCACTTATTGAACATGAGCAAATAGTTTAATACTTTTAAATGATACACTCTTGGCAGTATTCTTCTTATTTCTGTGCTTCTTCTTTTGCGTACACCATAATAAAGAAACTTCTACTGAAAAACCCTACACCATCACAAAGAAATTATTGTAACTTATATCTCAGTTTTTATTGACAAAATATAACTTGTCCATTGTGCCTAACTATTAAAATGGTATAGTTATAGAACATTTCACCTGTCTGGAAACCCTTGGTTTGCAGTTGTATCGGTTTCGAAGCATCGCTTTTTGTGTCCATAGGCTGGGTAAATATATTAAAGGGTGTTGCTTACTGACAAAAAGTAAATGGAAGGGTGGGTGGTATTTGGGCTGGTATCGATTTTATTTGGACATTGTGCGTCTGCATGTAATGGTGGGGGTTTAATCTATGTGAATATATCAGCATCTTGCATTGAATCATTATTTATATTCCTGTTTATATTTCACCATGTGTATTTCAGCATGATTATAGATAGTACTTGCTTATTTATATTTGATCAACATGCAATTGGATATTTTGGGTGGTGGTTGGGTTGTTGGGGGGGGGGGGGGGTGTCCATAATTGCTAAGTGTTCAATTCCTTGAATTACCTAGTGTTCACCCAACTAATCCTACATATTTTTACTCCATCTCAACTTATTCTGCTCAAACTTAATTTGTGAGAATATATGATTTTGTTTGTTGAAAAAATCTTACAGTTCAACGACTCACAGTTGCACTTTTCAACCTGCAGGTGATAAATGTGGGAACCTCAATTGGAAAATTGGGGTTTCTTGGAGAGTCAAATCAAAAGCTCTGGTGCTTAACACACATTGAAACTTTAAGGTATTGAGGACTTTACTTTTCATAGTTTCCAAAACATCTTGAGATGATATTTTCATCTTTATCTGTATTGACTCGCTGAGGGATAACTTTTGACCTTTTGCATGATCTCAATTTAGATTTTTCCATGCATAAAAGGAATTTGCCTTACCTGATGTTCATGTGCTTTTAAATATTGCGAGTGACAATGGGTTAAATCCTAAACCACTGACATACATGCCAATATTTGTGTCTACCACTTTAGCATTTACGTCTTCACTTTGATATAGATGCCTATATTTGTATATCGTCTAAAACTGATGTCTCCCCCCTAATTGGCTGTCTTTTCAGTGTTTGGGACTGGAAAGATGCAAGAATTGAAGCCAACTTCGAAGATGCTCGCTCCTTGGCCTCTGACAGCTGGACGTTAGATAATGTGAGTTTTACTCTTACTAGAATCTAGTAGATTCAATCAAGATTGTCAAATGTACGTATGTCGTTTGTAATTGTAAGAAAATTTATCAAGCAAGGCAAGTTATCAGAAGAAATGAAAGCTGCATTAGAGAATTAAATTCTCGAGTAACAGAACTACCCTAGCAATGTAAGACGCAAGGGCACCAGTTCTATATGGTCCCATGGAGTAAATAAAGATATGAGGAGTTGGGGCTTTTGATTACAGGCTGTTTCTTTGAGTTTCAAGTCGGATGCATCATGGCCATACTTTTCCAAACATAGCTTCTTCCTGCAAGTAAATAGCATGTAAATATCAGTACGGTGTGATTGAGGATCAAGTTTTCATACTCAATTCTAATCGACTTTTGGCTATGGCAGGTTGACTATTTTGTTGATTGCCACTACTTGGGGGAGGATGATAGGCTGTGGGTGATTGGTGGCACAAATGCAGGCACCTTGGGCTACTTCCCTGTAAGTTACAAGGGGAAGCGAGCATTTGGGTCTCCGCATGCTGTTCTTCATGGTGGTCATACAGGTATTGTTAGGAGCGTGTTGCCCATGTCTAGCATGGGACGTGGGCCAATCCAAAGCCCAAGCATTTTCGGATGGACAGGTGGTGAGGATGGCCGTTTGTGCTGTTGGTTGTCAGATGATTCATTCCATCCGAACCATTCCTGGATTTCAACTTCTTTGGTTACCAAGTCACCAAAAATTCGCAAGAAAAGCCGGTTTCAGCCTTACTAGGTAGCAGGGACGCGCACTTTTAAATAAAATATGGTGTTGTAATTTAAGTTTTGTTTGTTGTTTCTAGATACTCAAATTTATTTAATTTTCTTTTGACAAGGGAAGAGTAGGGAAATTCCTTTATATTGTCTCGGTATTCTCCCATTTTTTGTAACATCTTTTGCTTTATTTGACTACAATCCATTTTTTCAGTAGACCTATGAAGTCATATTGATTGCGAGTGCAAAGGAATAGAAAAACATGAATCAAGTGTTTATTTTCCTACCCTGTAACACTAAGCAGTTCTGTTTGTATTTCGATTAGCAAATAAGTATTAAGTCTAATGAAAGTACTTGCCCTATTTTTCTGTGACCTTCCCATTCAGATGCACCCATCGGGATAAATCTACCACAGTAGAAGCTGATTTTTGTTCGTATGGTCCATCTCTAGGGTTGGTAAACAACAATTTATAATTTTCGAAACAACAAAGAAAAAACAAAACAGATAGCACAATACACAAATAAAAGCAACATTGTGGAACCCACAAAACAGGCTCATGCAACAGATTATGTTTGATGTCATGTTAGTTTCAAAACAATGACACCATTCACTAAACAAGATAAAATGATTAAAAGGACCTTATGTCAAACCTTTAACTAGGCACACCACAATAAAACACAGGAACTGTTTACAGCAAGGAATTGTAGAAACCAATAACGCAACTCATCCTTGTGATCTTGATGTTTTGTTCAAAACAAGTTTCAGAATCTATTAGACAGAAAAGGGGAGTCCTTCCACAGTAATACCTATATATTCCTCCAAAATCAACCTTCTCTCACTGACCATTCCAAGCCAACTCAACCTGTTTCTGTCAATATATAAATATAGCATTCCACAAAAAATGAATGCACAAAAGGTAATTTTTAACCACGTCACTTCATGCATAGGTGGAGCCAGATGCCTCTAAAAGCCACAAACCAGCCCTCGGCTTTGTATCATCGGCCTCGCCCTCCACCTGTAATTTGATTTGGATCCATGAATAGTCTATAAACACATCTATCTAAAAACATTGTAACTTCAGACATCAAAAATAGAATCCTTCCAGAATTTGGGAGACAGGCGCACATTTCCACATAATTGTGCATGGAAGAGAGGGGTCTAGAGAAAGCGACTTCACTGAAGCAAAACCCATTCTACTCAAAGCAGGCAATATGCTTATATTAAGAAGCTCAAGCTTATGAAGCCAAGATGCATGCCATGCCTTAAGCAAGCTAAAAGAACTAGTATTTTGAGCAGTTGGGCACCCTTGGCTTGTTATTGGTCCTATGAGCATCTGTGCTTTTTATTTTGATTCACAAAGCTAGCAAGCCACAGCCACAGATTCTTGTGCAGCAATGTCCTTACCACTATGCAGATTACTTGAAACAAAACGAGGAAGGTAATCACACTTTTCTGTTCATGTGACAACTTGTAAATGGTGGAACGGAAGGGTGTTGTGGATGGGTCTATAGTAAGCCCCTTATTTAGGCATGATGCGGCAATTGTTACAAGAGATTGCTGACAACATATAAAATTCAGATGAATGTGATCTACCTCTGTTTCCGGCATTCTTTCCACCAACCCCACCCCTACCTCGACCTCCACCCACGCCTTTAGAACCTCCATCGTCTACGCCACGACCAATACCCTTTGCTTTGGAACCATCTTCTCTTCCTCTTCCTCTTCCACGCCCCACACCAGGTGGCCTCCTATCTGGAAATATCAACAGACCAACAAAAGAACCAACTTTTTTAATTAATGAAAATCGCTCGATGATAAATCATGAAATCAAAATCACTATCCAAATTACAACACCAAAAAATGAACAATGTGAACAAAGCAGCACATTTAATACAGATATAGTGAATCAAATCACCAAAAGAGCACATTGGTTTTGAAAAATATCGGCTAAATACAAACCCAGCTAATTATGCAGGATTTTAAGGAAAAAGGGCATAAACCAGAATGACTGATAAGCAAGACAAATCGTACAGTTGCAATTGTACACTAGCAATTAACTCAAACCAAGTCCCCTAAAAGAAGAGGCAAAAAATGTTTTCAATAGTATTTGCTTTCCAAAAGTAAAGAACATAGACCTAGATATCAAGTTTAAACAAAAGAAAGACAATTATGTACCAGCACGGCTCTTGGTCTCTTCTTGAACCTTATCAATCACCTGAAAGTTGAGGAATGTATTAAATTAAGCATGATATGAAAAACTATCAAAGGAAACTAAAAAAAGGCAGAAATTAAAACAAGATAAGGAATGCCTGCCTGACAAGGATGGCAAAAAAAAAATGGAAAATTGATTTCATAATAGTATTGCATCTCATGATCACAGACCCCAAAAACAAGAATAAACAAAGGAGAACATTCCCTGTCTGAGACCGCTTCCAGCACTGTTAAATGATATAAATCCTTTTCCAAGTCATAATTAATCAACCTACCATACTACTTATGCCTCAGAAAGACTCAAAGACTTATACAGAATCAGTAACTATAAAAGAACAAAATAAGGCAAAAACATTCTCCTCAGACAATAGGAACTTAAGAGAGATTCCAATCCAATTATGTTAAATTTGTAAAGTGCCATGCACTTGAACAACATGTCCGCCTACCCCCACTGTTACAGAACTAATTAAGCAAAATGTTTTCTATAACTTAAAACAGAGGAAAAGCCGCCACAAAAATCAAATATAAAGAAAGATTGTGAGGATTTTCTTATAGTAAAGAGTTGTAAGTTAGTGCTATCGTGAAATTGAGATTATTTCGGTTCCTTTCTTATCAGAGAAACCAAAAGGGAATTTAAATCAACCACTTTTTAACAACAAAAAGGAACCAAAAACAAAAATATACTTGAGTGGATAGAACCACATTATAAGGGACAGTAAGAATACCTCATCAGGAACTCTAAGATACTTAATCGTATTTCCACGGATGTAGCATTCGGGCATTCTCCAAAACCTATCTCCATCCTGCATTTTGCCAGCCAATCAAGACCCCATCACGAATTTGAAAAGAGAGCAACACTTGGCTACATAACCACCCCCAACCCCCCACACCAGGAAAAAATATATATATAACAAGAAAGAAAAAGAATGGAAACAACAATGAATGAAAGGATAACATACCTTAGAGGTACATATGACTTCACGGAGATGGATGTTCATCCAAGTGTCACAGTTAACCAAATGTCCATTGTAGGTCTCCCCATTTTTCAGTTCCACCAACTGCACAATGCAGAACCACTAAAACATAAGCAACTGCAAGCAAAGTTAAGCCTATCAAACCAAACCAAGTCTTATGTCCCAATTATTTGGGATAGGCAATATGAGTCCGTCTTCGCCATTCATTTCGGTCATATGCTATACATTCATTTAAGCTAAACATTTTCATATCTTTTCTTATTATTTCGTTCAATGTTAAGTATTATTTTGCTCAACGCTAAGCCTGCTTCTATGAAACAACATTCTCAGAGTATCTTTTCCGAAAAACAGTCACACAATCAAATATTCTTGAAGCTAAGAGGAAAGAATACATTAATTTTTACCCAATCAAATATTTTTTTTTCTCTTGGAAGATAAATTTTCTAGCAAACTACGTCCTCAAGAAACAGACAGAGCCTGAGGAAACATAAAATTAGACCAACTAATATGAAAAAAGTGATAGTAAAGATAGTACCATAGGGTGGCCTTGTGCTGTCTTGAGTAGAGAAAGAGGAAGCTGCAGCATCGGACGATCGAATCGACCAAGTTAAAGCAACCGTATTCGTATAAAGAAGCAAAATCAATTAAGAAAACCACAAAAAAAAAAAAGCCCTACAAGCAGGTAACATACCATTTTCTAGGGCACAGAATATGCGAAAGCTGGCAAAAGAACCTGCAATCAAGAAGTACCAAATAAAAATTTGGAACAACAATAGAAACACAAAACATTCGTCAGTTCATAAAAAACCCTAGGTTTTGAGAACCCTAGCTTCTCATGAACTTGAAGAAGCTACAAGGCTACGTTCTCTTTCCTTACACATGGACTACAAACTCATTTGTTTCAAAAAAAAATCGTTAAACAAAAAAGAAGTCGTAGTAGTTACCGATCGATCAAGAAGAAGGAAGAGAGAAATAATTCGTTCGATCTCTCGTTTTTGGGAGAGATCGCTTGCGTTCGGCGATGTCTGAGACTCTCCGTGTCGTTCTTCAACGAGGGATTTTGTATGATATTTGAAAGCAGAAAATAGCTGGCGGTCAATAGTCGATATAGTGGGTACATGGCGGTGGGAAAAAAATAGTGAGGAAAATTTACATTCAGACCCCTGAGATTTGTCATATAATCAAATAGGTTCCTTAGGTATAAGAAATTACACATGATTCCCTTCAACTATTTACGTGTGTAACACAAACTCAACAACCTTACCTTTGTTGGCAAAATTGCATAATAACACTCACTTCTTTTGAGTGAAATAATACTTAATATTGGGTATAACTTTTATACCATGTCAACATTGTTGATATAGTATAATAATCCAATAATAAAATAACAAAAAAAAAAAGAGGTAATTATTTATGACACGATTGAGTGATTATGAATTTGATTGAAACACATTTAGTGACTTATTACACCCAATATTTTTTCCTTTCTCCGGTGATAGTTTTGTTACTTGGCATGTTTCCTGTTCGTTTCGCATGAAAGGTTCCATTCAGTGAACTCTAGAAAATTATCAATCAAAACCAAAGCTAGAAAGAAAGCAAAACTGAATGAAGAATGACGAGAAATGCACAAACCATCAAGCTCCTATCTCCCACTTTTAACTCTCATTTATCATCAAATCATTCAAAATGAAGCAATCTCAAAATGAAGATGGTTTAAAGTCCTTGGCTAATTAGATGAAACTCTGCCCCAACTTTAAACTTGTCCTCTGGGGTTTGTACTTACAAGTAAAAAGGATTCGAAAATATACATGAGGGCGATTCAAAGTTCCAGTAAATATGGTGCTTGTTTGGGGGGAGCAGAGGGTTACATGAATTTACAAGAATAATACATTTAAGTTAAAGATTAGCGGGTCCTGAAACTGAACCATGGAGAGTTCCATCATAAGCTTATTTCATCTTCATCAGACCTTTTACGGACAGCTGTTAAGTCAACCAAGTGACGCATTGTTGGTCTGCCGTGTGGACAATTCCAGGGAGACTTGAGATCTGCCAAATGTTCAAGTATCTGAAAAAATTAAGTGCACCAGTTGTAAGTATAATTGAACCCCTAAATTGTTTTGCAGATTACATAAATTTACACTTACAAGTTCGATGGACAAACAATGCAATCAGAAACATGGAGAAAATGTGTTGTGCAGTATCACTGTTTCTTTTTTTTTTCAATGATGCATCACACAACAATTGTCATACCTTCTGCATCTCATTTCTTCCAAGTGGATCTCCAATCATAACAGATGTTCTGCAGGCACGTGATGCAAGCATAGAGCGAACTCTTGGTGGGCAAACCGAATCAGAGGTGTCCAATTTGTAAGTACCGAGCATTGAGCATTCTCCTTGACTATCAGCAAGAATCGAAACAAGGTCCTTTACATCTGCCAAAAAACAGAAGAAAACATTTACAATGTATTCCATGCCACTTCATCGGGAAACACACTCAAAGAAACAGACACCACCTGCTTTCTGGAAGAAATTAGCCACTTTGAAGCCTCCAAAAAGTCCATTTGTATACAGGACGATGAATAATGTTTTCAGGCTTATTTTTAACTTTCAGGTGCACATGACCAAGGTTTAGTCCTAAAAGAAACAGGGCCAAACTGTGCTAGTCTAGTCCTTAATGGAAAGAGGTGCAAGCTGTTTTCAAATAGATGTAAACTCTTCTCCTATCTTCGATTCTCTAGCTAGTCAGCAATAAGTAACCCATAAATGTGTTTGTATGTACTCTTATATGAGAATTTTCAACGGTCACATAAGTATAGTAGATAATCACTTCCAATAAATTTATCAAATGTTCAAAGTTTCAACTTGAAATGTTAGATTCACATGTGAAAACCAAGGATTACGTTGTGCAGCTCTTGGGACAAATTGCGACACAATGTACCCTTAATGTATCAGTCATGAATTTGGGTTCAACTCAATTTCTTTTCAATACATCTGAATCGTCTTTCAGAAATTCAGTAAGCATTTCACAGCCCAATTGTGGTTCTACTAACTATAATACTGTCACTGCATTAAACAGAAATGCCACATATCAATGTTGAAGATGTGTCTGATTTGTGTACTGTAAGTGTCTGAAGTATACAGTATGTACTTGGAATGAGAAATCCTACTCTCAGTTTATCGTCATGGATAGGAAGTAGGGAGCAGAGTTTAAAAATACAATACCTTAGAGGTATCCATACTTTATTATGTCAAAATGTTAGAACAATGCAAAGATGCATCGAGCCCTAATTCCACTATCATTCCTTCTCATATGCGAGAGATGCTTTTCTCACCCCCCAGTCACCCAGCAACACAAACAACTGCAGGGTGCGCATAACTACCACACCCTTTCTTTTCTTGGGAGCAAGTTAAGTTGTGGTATATTGGAGGAAAGTTTTGATCAAGTGTGGATTTTAATAATTCAATCATGTTAAAGAGTAGGAGACTTTTGTTCCAGAAGTATGTTTTCTATTTGCATTATCACATGCTTGCTAAAATCTCCTCTTAATATGCTCTATTTTTGTGTGTAAAGTATCAAATTAGTTGCAAGGAATAGGCAATTGGACAACAATTACCAGCAACTCCAAAAGTGATGTTTTTACTGAAGGGAACTGCTTTCAATTTAAAACGGTGTCCTGGAGGAGCATGCAGATCCTCTTCCAAAGAAAATCCGTTTTTCCTACAAGTTGAAGAGACCAGAATGCAAATCAGGAGCAGTAAAGAACAAGCTCTATCCTGCAAAAAGTTCATATAGAAGCAACAACATAGAGAGGAGAGACCAAAAATGCATCAATTCAGAGTTCTCTAGCAAGACTTGATCACAGGATTTATGGATGTGAGCAATAAGGGTCCAAACAAGAAAAAAATGGTGGTAACATGGTGTAGACTCTCTCTTATGAATACATTTTTTTGGTTATCTTCTAAAAATGTTGTATGCTAACCTACAAAACATATACTTAATGGTTAAGGCTAATCAGATGCGACGACAAATGTTTTATGGTTCTTTAGGGTGTTAAAAGAAGAACTCAATGCAATGATCAGAGCAACCCAATTCAAAGAGCAAAAAAGAAATACCCATAAAGGACGGAGTAGTGCAGGTTAGGATTCTTCTCCAAAATGCCATGCAGAAGTGTCGCATAAGGTAAAAGACTTCCAGCAGTATGAATATATCAATGCCAGCATCACTCCTTTTTGGGGGAGTGATGAATGACCAGTCCCCTACAAATTCTAAGTCAAAATTGCTTCTGTACACAAAGAATATGACTCTTCGGGCTGACTGACTATCTCAGGTTTTGTGGGTATGGAAAACATATGGGGTTTTAGAGCTAGAAAAGGTATAAGAAGATGGTACTATGGTAGGGGGTTGAAGCTTGGCAAGAAAGAGAAAGGTTCGGGACACTGTTTCAGGGCTGTTAACAAGGACGTAAAACAGTAGCAGAGCTTTTTGGAATCTTCTGAACATTTTCAGTTGGATTTTAAGGATAAAAATGACTGGGCTTTGAAAATAGGTTTTCTAAGGGAGAAACAATATAGTGCCAGTTCAGGTGCGGTTTTTGAAAGGCTTAGAATTGCACAAAATTTATGGAGGAAAAAGAAGAACCAAGTGAAAGCATAAATCAACTCTATTAAAATAAATTGGTTACACATATTTATGGGCTAAAAGACTCTCTTAAAACTATATAAGGATTAAGGGCTACACAACATCAGAAAACTAAGAATATTTGTTGGATCCGAAATGGGCTTTCATCAAGGTTTGTCATGGTATCTATTATTTCTAGATTCGTTTGTCATGGTATCTATTATTTCTAGATTCCAACTAAAATTCAACCAACATCCTTTGCCCCATTGTTCTAGGATCAAACAACATAAAAAGGCTTTTTGATTGTTCTGGGATCCACAGCCTTTGTTGTAGGCTTCCAAAGCCTATGATAACACCCAATCAATAGTCACTACAGAGGAGAGGGGCCAGGGGAACTAAACCCCACATCAGGGGCAACCCAACGTAAACGAAGGCCTTAAGCGAAAACTTTACACGGACCCTCCTAATATTTAGTGTATTAATATATATAATATTTTTAATTATCATAATTCACTTTTTTATTTAATTAAAAAATAGTTTTTCTTGCTTTTTGAGATGCAAAATTATTGATCAAGTTCTTATATTCAAGTTTTGTCAATAAAATTTTCTCGATACATAGTATAGCTAATCCATTCAATTTTTTTTTTTACGTTTTTCATACCAACATTCATATCTTCTAGTAGACATATTAACGATTAAAAGTTAATTTTCAAGTAAAACAATATAATTTTATAATAGCTTTGAAATAAAAAAAATATTAAGTTTGGAAACAACACAATATGGCAAGAGCAAAACCCCAAATTCTATTTTCTTCTAATATCCACCTTTGATCTTTTTGTCTACAAATTTAAGCCCAATCACTGCCATAATGATAATCAACAAATAACGATTTTATTAGCACAATCCTTATTAACCCAAAATAATATAAAAGAAAATAAGAGTCACTTGCACTCTTTGTGGAGACAATGCGACAATTCATAACCTGTCCACTTAGATGAAGTGTTCAATACTAAAAATTTACAGATTTCTATACAATGAAACAAAAATATACATTATATATTTATAAACTTTGATTCACGTGTAGTTGTGCAAGATAAATATTTTATAAGAAAGAATTAGAGAAAAAAATTACATTTTGCTTTGAAGGTGCTAGAAATTATTAGTAGAAGATTGAGCGCACCAAGGTGCATTCAAAGAGAGAGAGAGAGATATAAGGGTTAAAATATAAAACTACTAAGGCTGCTCTTTTGAGGTTTTTATTGGGCTTAACTAAATGGAGAGCAACTTTGGACCTAACAAAATTAGAAATTAATTTGGGCTTTTAAAATTTGGACTTATCTAAAACTCAAAAATAACAATTAAATTTGGGTCTAATATACTAACGGGTTAAATTTTTGGGGGGCCCTAGGCAACCACGTTAGTGGCCTATGCCTAGAGCCGGTCCTGCCCCACATCACTCCCAACAACAAACTACAGTTCCAGGGAAAGATAGAAATACTAATAATGAATAATCAAATGAATCAAAGGAAAAACAGGCAACACATCAACCTGATAGTATCCATGTGCATGGAAATCACTATTTCTTCTTCAGGGGATAACTCCATCCTCAAAGGCCTACATACAAGACATTGGAAGACGGGAACCAAAAATTAGCATCTAATATTAAAGAAGATTCTTCATAATAAACTCCAATGGTTACATCACCAATTACAAACCATTAATGCTCTTATATAAGTCAATCACTTCACTATTTAGGTTTTCGTGGAATTTCGGTAATAAAAAATACCAAAAGGCTGTACTCCACCGTTATTGGCCATTCACTTTGAAGACACAAGCTATAGGCGCACCCCTTTTTTCTTCTAAAAAATGAACAATTGTACTGCAATATGATAAGAAAGTTTAGCAGTAGAAAGATTCCTATTTTTACAGCTCAAAGTGTTGTTATAGTTCAGCTAAGAGAAATGGCTAACCACAGGATTGCCAGACACAAGGCGGATAGGCAACCAGATTAGGAATTTAATTTACAAAGCTTACTGCAGAGAAAACTTTATAGGTAATTCTCAACGCATGAAAAAGAAGCAAGCTTGTTGCTTAGAGGACTAGATTGTTCATCTGACAGGTTTGAGATGAGTAAGTCCTTGGTCCTTTTCTATGTTTGTTGGCAGTTTCAGGGGTTTTGGGAGGAACAAAAAAATGGCCACTTTATGAAAAAAGCAATTCTTGCGACTATACGGGTGACTTTTTTTCTTTCTTCGAGTTACTTCATGGCCATTTGATTGAAAAGGAGTGCTATAATTATTTTACGAGAGTTGCGAGGTGGTGGAAGATTTAAGGGATCATGAGGCAATTCCTATCTTTTGCAATTTGGTGGGTGGAGAGCTCTATGTGATTTGTAGCTAGATTCATTTGTAGTTAAGACTAATACTGTAAATTATTGTTTCTTTTTTCTTGCTGGGACGACTGGACCACATTTTTTCTTATATATTGTCTACTTGCCAATTAAAAAACTGCTTATACAGAAAAAAAAAAAAGACTTCTTCTAGTATTGTCACATGCATTATCACATAAAGCACCAAAACAAGTTAGGAAAGATGCCAGCACCTGTAACATTTCAGCATTAATGCTAGCTAAATTAACAAGCAAGATCTTTTCTTCCCCTCCCAGCCCAAATTTCAACCCAAAGCAATAGATAGTATGAATTCACAATTCAACTTTAAATACAATGTTCAATAATATTCCTTTAATTAAGAGAATGAACACACCGAAGTAAAGGCTGTTGGTTCAAGATGGTCGACTCTGACAGACGCTCATAATTATACTTCTCATCGGCAGCATGCTGAAATCAGGGAAAAGTGTATCAAAATCACAATGTTGCAACAGCAAATGAATGTGATTTCAGGTCATGTAAGCTATCCTCTGATGTCTACACATCAGTATAACATTACAAAAAACTGTTATAATACAAAAGAAAGAAAAAAACTGATAAGACAAGTAGTTCAGATGTAAGGGGGAATTACCTGATCCACAATAAATAGGTCTTGATCTAACTTGCCAATGATAAACCCAAGATTGAATTGCCCAATAACCTAGCCACCAAAAAAAAAAAAACCATATTGCTTTTTGCCAAATAAAATTCCCTGAGGTCTTCTGTTGTCTAAAGATCAACAAAACATGACTGTGCACTGAAAATGCTGATGGCAGAGGTGGAAATGCACATGCCGCAGTAATACACTGAAATCCCAAGAACTTCCTTTTTCACCAGAACTGACAGCAGATGAAATTTAGCTGCCCTAGAACTCCATAAAAAAACGTGGTAACACGCAATATAATAGGGAAAATTAAGTGGAAATGAAACTTCATGCAGATCACACCTACCGGGTCGCATGCTCACTTGCCCAGTGAAGCAGTAACGAAGCTCTATATATTGGTGAAACAGGAATTACAAAAAACATTCCACAAATACTATGTAAAGAATCAGCAGACTTCCATCTTTGCTTCCCTAGGTATTGAATTGGGCCTTACATTTGTGTGTTGGCTCATCGGTTAATGGTGCAGAAGTCAAACTCTAAGGTCATCTAAATCCAACCAAGTACCAAAACACGTACACAGCTTGATTTTACAAGCCAGTATTCGAATTCAGAGCTCAACAGGGGATGGCCACAACTCCTCTAACTCAACCTAGGAGACACACACACATACAGAGTTCTTCTATGTCTAAGGAACATATATAAAGTGCCTCTGTGAAGCAGCTTTAAATTACTTACAATAAACTGTGCCTTGGGTTAAAGTAATAACTTATGTATGTAAACAGATTAAAAGAGTTTACAACCTTCATTCGGCCAAAGTCTTCCTTCTTGAACAGTCTCTCCAACTCACTTGTGGCTGCAGCGAGAGCACTTGCTTTCCCTGCTTCATTTATAGATTGAGAAAGCTCAAGTGTTGCAACAGTGTAACACCTAAGAGTTATCATTACAAGTTATATCAGTTGAAAAGCATATTATGTTAGGCCTTTTCTAATTTTACAAGGAAGATTACAATTTAGAGACCCTCTAATCTTCATTCTCCCACTTGCATAATTGATAGATTGCAATCTTGACCGCCTCTGCTGCCTCCTAGTAATCAAATCTTTAACACTAAATTGCAAGGTAGAACCCATTTTTAAACCAGAAGAAGGCATTGGAATATCTAAAGCCGGACTAGAAGATTGAAATGAAGTAGCTGCATCTAGATCTTCATTGACATCTTCGATATATTTGCTAGATGGAGCAGTTAGTATGGAATTATCAACAGGCAATGCTTTCTCTTGCATTTTCAGTTCCTGAAATGAATCAGTTTGAGTAGGCAAAGTCACTCACAAAAGAACATTCGTTTACTCACAAAAGAAGTGAGTAGGCAAAGTTATCTATATTTCATTATGATTAAGAGATAAATCTTTCTCCTATCCAAGCAAAAAGAGCAGGAAGGGAACGAGTCGAAAAATAAGAAGTCTGACCACATACCTCTCCAGATTCCCTATCGTTGGTATTGCCTCCAACAGAAAGCGGGACCTCTGTTTCATTACAGACTTTGTCCACTCTTAAACACTTAGAATGCTCAGGTTCATTCTTTTCAACTTCATCGGAATGACCAACCTCGTGAAAATCAGAAGGAGATCTGGGAAAGCCAGTTTGATTTTCAGAACTGTTTTTCCTCGATTCAGAGAGAACACATCCATTCCTGAGGAGAGGGACTTCAGTTAATGTTGTACCAACACTATCAAGCTTTCTCTTATGTACTGTAACAAATTTAGCAAGTGATGACTGAACAGTACTTGGACGACTGGATGATTCTCTAATATCAGAAGTGCCTTTCTCTATGGTTCTCAAACAGAGTGAAGCATGTTGATCAGTTGAAGCACTTTCAAGATGATTTGTAAGTTGTCTATTGTAACTCCCAGATAAGCTGTCAGCCTTCTTAATTCCATGGACCTTAAGAGAAAAGTCTTTTCCAATTGAATTTTCATCATCATTGTCTACCACCTCGACAATACGGGGTACTTTGAATGTTCTGTGAAGAATGCCACCATCTGCATATTGTTTTTCACTACACCCTGACCCTGCTTCAGAATCACTGCCATCCGGAGATAGTTGCTTCAATGCAAGCTGTGATCCCCGATGATGAGAATCCAATTTGGAGCTATTTTTTTCCTGACTGAGATCCTCAAATCTACTGACAGAATAACTTGCATGACTTGGTGAGTAAATCTTCTCTAAAGCTTCTCTTAAAGAGCGCAAAATGGAGCCTTCATCGGAAAAGAATATTTTTCTTTTATCAGGCGTTACATTGACATCGCATGCCCCAGTTGGAACTGTAAAATTCATGATTGCAATTGGATACTGCCTGGAGTTCGCACCTTTATACAGCTCATTGACAAGCTTGCTCACTTTTGGCATATCAACCGGCCGACCATTTACAAAAAAGAACTGCCGATCTCCTAAATTGCGTCCACTGCCATATCCAGGCTTGGAAAGAAAACCATCGACCTTGCAACCATCTGATATACATAAGCATACAAGCTCTAAGCAGTTAAAGGTGCTCATACCAAACACTGCTATGATGTTATCCTTAAGAGAACCACTTCCCTGTGTTTTAAGCACAACAGCCTTTACATTTCTTCCAGTTGTGTTTGTGCAAACCAATCTAACACCTTTTGCAATAAGCGCATAGGCCTGAACATCAATAAATTGAATAAGATGAGGCAGTTCACATCAATCTTGCTAATGCATCGGATATAGGATCATTGATCTATTCAATCAATAGAATACCACATACCTTTATCTTGTCAATCAACAAGACATAGTCAGCACAGATTCATAGGAAACACAAGAATGGGCACCACAGAGTGAAGCATTACTCTCCCGAGACGCTTGATAAGATTTAAACTAGTACAAATTGCTAAATGCAACATTAAAGTGACACTCTTTCCGAAAAAAAAACATTAAAGTGACACCAGTAATATGTATGGGTGAATGGACAAACCATATGAAAATGACACTAAACAATAACAAGACAGAAAAATTTTGAATCATTTCAAGTACAAAGTTGAGTCAAATGCAAGCAATTTTGCAACATCTCGTATGCCGTGAATCATCAAAATAAATGTAAATCTCATGTGCTTCGAAGAATCTCACTCCTTTTAAAAATCATATCACGCCAAAACTCCATGGCTTAATAAGAAAACTAGGAGTTAAACGAGAAGTTCATTATGAGGCTAGTAACTATATTTGGGTCAAATAAAAACGATGGGATTGTGAAGATAATACTACTCATTCAGCATCACAATTTGGCTAGTGTATTCTTTGAATTGGATTGTGGAACTAGAATAACTTCATTTTATTACTCCCAATTCCCAAATTTTTTGAACTGTTGAACCCACATGTTCATGAAATCAATTAAATCTTATTAGACAACAAAAGGGAAATTTTCTTTTCTGTAATCTATAAAATCTAAAAGTCTAGTATGTATGGTCAGTAGTTTAGATACAGGGTAAACATCTGAAGTAAAACAATAGCTGGCAGAAGGCATAGTGGACTACACATCTAAAAAAATTAAAAGCAATAAATATACTGCAACAAAATTATGGAATATACTTTTGGAGGTGGAGTGTGTGGATCACTTGTTCTTACATTGTTCTTATGTCACTAAATTATGGAATAGACTTTTGGAGATTGTGCGAATCCTTTGGGTGTGTCCAAAAAATTGTGATTTAGTGTTCTCTTGTGGGTATGAAGGTTTTGGTTTGAGCAATAAAGCAAAGGTCTTATGGAAATGCACAGTGTTGGCTTTGGTTTGGGTGGTTTGGTTGGAAAGAAATGGGATAATTGTTTAGTATAAGGAGTGTCCTTGGGAAGAGTAATGGGATAAAATATCATATTTGGCTTCTCTTTGGGTCTTAACTGGACAGGATTTTGAAGGAACACCTTTGTTATTTATTAAAAGATCATTGGGCTCAAGTATGCGAAGAATGTTGATGCATGGCAGCATTTTATCACTGCATTTTGTCTCCACATTTTAGCAAAGTTTTCTTTTGTTTTGTTAATGTTTCTTTGTTCAATCTTGTAGAGGACTCTTTGCTCTATCTTTTACTTTTTTTTTTTTTTTTTTGCCCTTGGCATTTTGTTTGTTTATTAATAATACAAGTTGTTGATCAAAAACAAATAAACAAATATACTGCAAGAATGTGCACAAAGAGGGTAGGCTCACATTCAATAGAGAAATAAGCTTTCCATATTCTTTCCGGATGTTGCGATGGAATTCTTTGCTCCGCACAGGCAGATTGAAGAACAACTTCTTAACAGTAACAGTGGTGCCAATTTGACGGGCCGTCTTCCTTTCAGCTGTTAGCAGGCCCGAATGATCAAAAGTCAAATGTGTCGCAACAGGTTCATTTTTTGTTCTCGTCTCTACCGTCAAATCCCCTAAAGCACAAAGCGAACTCAGAGCCTCTCCTCTGAAGCCAAAAGTCGTTAACGATTGAAGATCGGGAAAATCTGATAATTTAGATGTATGATGCTTCAGTGCAAGAACCTGCAACGAGTACCACTAGACAACTAAGCACCTAAAACAGTTAACTGAAAAAATTGAAGTAAATTTAATTTCAATGTAAATACCTTGAAATTGTGAGGTGAAATGCCGCAACCATTATCGATGACCTGGAACGATTCTTCTCCGTACTCCTTCAATGCAATCTCGATGCTGGTGGCTCCGGCATCCAAGCTGTTCTCAACCAACTCCTTGACGGCGGAGGGAAGGTCTAATATCACTTGTCCAGCACAAATTCTGTGAACTGCGCCTTTGTTTATGGGCTTAATTCTAGGCGATTCCACTGATGAATCTAGTCCTCCTCCCATTAAAGCTCAATCGAAACGATGCTCACAATATCAGCTATATGAATATATCATTCACAGTTGGACTTCCATAATACTCTTCAACGACGACAATTTGTAGTAGTTCTATTGAAGCTTCGATTTGTAGGAACAAACCCTAGGGTTAGAGAAAAGAGAAATCGAACGGAGCGTGCAATGAATCCCTAGCTCTCGTCGGGTTAAGCAGGAAAGCTTTTGCCGCCAAAACAGCAATTTCCTGTGCTTTGGGGGTTTCCCGATACTACTGCAATTTATATTCACCCAATGTTTGCTATTATAAATAATTAGTAAATGTTTTTGCAAACATGGTGTCGTGGTGTAGTTGGTTATCACGTCAGTCTAACACACTGAAGGTCTCCGGTTCGAACCCGGGCGACGCCATTCTGATTCAATATTGTTTCTTTTTGGGCTTTTTTTAATGTATTATGTCATTTGTCCCTTTATATTTGTTTTTAGGGTTATTTGGAAGTCGGTACACCTTATTTTACAAAAAATACATAAAACAAAATGTGAAAAGACATTAATGTTCATTTTATGGTCATTTAATTCAAAATCTATTATCGTTAATGTATTTTTATTCATGTGTGTTTGTTAATATATATATATTTGTTGTTAAATCTCTTATTTAAATTTTGAATTATCTTTAATGCATCTTGATTCATTCGTATTTTTTTTTTTTAAAAGTGATTTTGTTTTCAAATTATATTTAATGCATATTGATTCAAGCGTTTTTTTTTTTTTAAATAGTTTTATTTTTAAATTAATTTAATATCCGAATAATATAATAGTATAACAATAACACTGTAATAATAATAGTGTAACAAATATACTGTAACAAAAACAGTGTTCAGTAGTTTTGTGTATATGGTAACAAATTCAAAATGGAAATGAACTATTTTGAATTAAATTATATGAAACTATATGTTTAACAAAATATAATAGTACAATATTTTGTGTACATAGCTTGTTACACTATTATTGTTATACTGTTACATTGTTAGTGTTACACTTTTATTGTTACACTATTATACTATTCAGATATTAAATTAATTTGAAAATAAAATCACTTTATAAAAAAATAAATCATAAATCAAGGTGTATTAAAAGATAATTCAAAATTTAGATAAGAGATTTAACAACAAGTATGTACAATATATACAAACATAAATATTTATATATATATATATATGTATTTATGTATATATAAATATACATACATACATACATACATAAGTATTTATATCTATATAATAAAGTAGAACTGAGTTTGAATCCAGAAACAAAGAGAGATCCAGATCGTTTTGAGACAAAATATAAATATATCAAACGAACAACGTAATTTCAACATAAAAGGTGGTTTAGATCATCTCATAAATGCTGATCTGACGGTCATAATTGAACTTAACTCTAATACTCGTATCTCTCATATAACTCTCTCTTCCTTATCTCTTAGATATTTTAAATACACTATCTCGTCTCCTTTTTTTTATCTCTATATCTATATAATAAAGTAGATAAATTATTTATCTTCAACTTTTCGCGGCTCAGATCGTTTTGATCTGATGGTCCTAATTAGATTTTTATTCTTTTTACAACTCTAAGTCTCTCATATAATTCTCTTTATCTATTTATCTATCTTACACACTCTTTCTCTCATACTATTATCTTTTTTTTTTCTCGTGTTGTTTTTACTATTATTTATTCTATAAACCATACGAAACTACATGTCATCAAATTATTTATTCCTTGAAACAAATTCAAAATTTTTATATATCTGACTGTATGTATTTTGTCACTTACTCTTTAATTTATAAATAATACTGAATATAAATAAAAAATAGCACATTAACTATAAACACAAAAAAAATATTTAACATAAAATGAACCTTAGATTGTAAATTAATATATATTTTTATCAAAATTTGACATTTAATTTTCTCTAATTTATATTCAACTTTATCGAATATCAAATTAATATTAAAATTTATTTAATCAATTTTTTAGAGTACTAAATTATATCAATTTTTTGAGTACTAAATCAAATTTTATTTTATTAAATTTTTAATTTTTTTGGTACTAAATTTGGAGAAGGACAAATGTAAAAATAATAAAGTTTTTTAGGATAAAATTATTAATTTTCGTTTGCAACATTGACGAAAGGGAGACAAAAGGGGTCTCCGTGCAATGAATAACAAACTTTAGGGGTCTTCGTGTTATTTATAAAATATAATGAGGTGTTCGTGTAATATTTCCAAAACTCAGGGAATATCATGATTTTTAGTTGTTTTTCCCTATTTTTTAATTAAACGTTAATATATTATTATTTTACCTTAAAAACTTAAATATTGTATTTTTAATAAAAACAATTATTTGTTATAAGGGTTTGTTGGTGACAAAAAAAGAAACGTGTGAGTGTATTTTTGTGTATATTTACATGTGGAGAATTCAACATTTAGTGATTAAATTTATAATTATATTATGTCATTTGGGGTTGAATGGTGATAGTGATGATAAATTCATGAGTTTATAAATGAGCAAAATTTGGTTGCTTTTATTTACCATTTAAAAATTGTGAATATAATTGTATTCTGTATATATATATATATATATATATATATATTTTTTTTTTTTGCTTGAAGTATTTATTACATGGAGATAGGGTGGATTAGAAATATGATAGTTGAGTTGATAATTATGTTAGTGTTATTGGATGAACTGGTAGTAGAGGTGATAATTCGTGAGTATTATAAATAAGCAAAATTTTATTTATTTAATTTATTGTTTAAAGATTGTGAATTTTAATGAATTATGTTACAATTTTTTTTTTCATATGCATTTATATATATAGTGTTATTTTAGAGAATTTTTATAACAGTTCAATTAATATGAAAAATATAATCGACAATATATTTTGAGTCATTTTAAATGAAGAATTTGTATGAATATTTTTAGGTCATTTCTTTTGAATTTAGGTAATTATTTCAAAAAAATTTGTTTGTTGCATAGTGTCTTCAGGTACGGGTAATAACTAGTCTATATAATAAAATAGAACGAAGTTTAAATTCTAGAGACAAAGAGAGATTCAGATCATTTTGAAATAAAATATAAACAAATTCAACAAATAATGTAATTCAAACATAAAAGACGGTTCAAATTATCTTAAAAATTTTGACCTAGCCATATAAAATGAGTACTAAATTTTGTTTCCCGCCTAACAAAATTTGCTAAATCACGCCTCTCTCTCTCTCTCTCCCAGTCACTCGCGCCTCACTCTTTCTCTCCCAATCTGTCATGCCTCTACCCCTGTCTTCCAACATCTCTCTAATGGACTCACCAATTCAGCGATCTCTTCCTTCCTTATCAGAATGTGGGCTCTGTGATTTCCTTTCATACCCAAAACGAATCTCACGCCTGATATCTCAAGCTTCACTCTCTCTCCAACGCTTTCTCTATTTCTGATTTTCGTTGTTGATTACACCTCTGCCCAACCACCTTCAGCGACATCCAACAGCTGCTCAGTACATTGTGGAAGGCACATCGTTAGACACCCATTTGCGACTGGAAGGGCCAAGCGTTTTACTGCTTTGCTTCGTTGCCTTACGCCGTTGCTACCCAGCCACCGCCAACAAAAGTAAGCAGTGACAACAAGTCACCGGAGTAGATACACCAGCCAAGTACTCCATCTCTTTATTCTACCTCTCTCTCTTCCAATCCCCCACCACCTACCCATCTCTCTTACCTTCCCCCTACAACTCTCACACAGAGAAATTCGACCAAACTCGACACACACACACACACAAATGGACACTCACGCATACACACATATTCGACTTTCACACATCTTCAGTTGTTTTATTCTTTGTGATTTTTTTATGTTCATTTTTTTTTATCTTAGATTTGGGACAGGACATGAATCTACTTGGAACTTTAGAAATGCCATTTGCTGGAATCCATCTCAATCTCACTTCAACACCGCTACCAGGTATGTTTATATTTCCATCTCTCTCTGCTTCTATCTATCTCCGCTGCTCAGCACACATAGAGGACACATGGAAAGGGTTCGACACAATGCCTAGGAGGTGTTCGACAAAATGCCGAAGAAGTAACCAAATGTCCCTAGCCGCTGTAAGGTATGTTTTTTTGATTCTTTTTTCTCAGTTAGTTGATCTATTTTTTTTTATTTTTTTTGTTATTGATTTGGTCACTCTCTCTCTCTTGGCGAATTTGGCTCGGCTATGATGTATGTACTGTTTGTGATTTAGATTGCTTGGGGCAAGTGTATTTGGACCTTTTTGTATATTCATGAGGCTTATGCATTCACAAATTTTTTGCATATTCCCGAGGCTTGGCTATTTATGGATATGTAGTGATTCTTTTGTTCCAGTTTTTGAACATAAAAATTCCCACACTTCTTGGATAAGAGAACCGAACTTTCATAAATTGCGGCGAGTGGTATATTTGTGTGGTAAATTAGGTGCTTATGTATAATCCAAAAATGTTTCTAAAGTTTAAAGATGGGAACTGTGTGGTTATTATCCTGTGGCACTCTCATTTGTTATCTTGCTGATGGGAACCTTTGTTTCGGAGAATTTTGGTAGGCTCTGATTTTCACCACCCCTTTTGGATGAATCCCTATATTGAAGCATTCTGCTCACAATGGATTACATTTACAAGAAGAGTAATTTGTGGGGTGAAAATATATATTTATGTATATGTGTAAATTCTTATGATGTCACAAGAAACATCCTTCCATTTGAAGTCGGTGTCTAGGAGGCAACTATTGACTTAGGGTAATATTAGGCTGATCTAAAAATGGGATTAAATGATGTTAATCTTCATTTTTCTCACCATCTCACCGCCGCATCATGTGGTCCCTTTTCTGGGTACTATTTTTTGTCGCCAGTCTAGCATATTCATTGATTAAACAAAAGTAAACTTCTAAAATTTATAAATTTTATTTGTCTCACAACAGAACAGGTCTAATCGTAGACCAACTATTTGGTTAGTCTAACTTGAAATCCCCACACCAATGTGCCTTGGAAGGCAGATTTCACCATGCTACAGGCCCTGCACTCTTGATGAAACATTTATCAGATATGAAACTGTAGATCATGAATAGACATAAGCTATCCAAACAATTTAATGCTGATTGTTACCTAATAGTTGGTACTTTGCAGTTTGTGTTTGCTTCCTGGAGACCTATTTCTTTTTGAAGTTCAGTAGTAAAACGTTTTATTACGGGTGTGACTCCTGCAGAGGTCGTGCATTTCCCGTTTTCACTTTTTCGATTATTCATTTGGTACATTTGTTGTGGTTAGTTCATGTTTTTAATTAATCTTTTTGTTTAATTCCTTTTTTGAGTATATATTTTCTCCCTATTGGCATGTAGTTGACATGCTTCATTGCATTTGTTTTGCGTTAAAGAGTTGGGTATTGTCCTATTGATTAATTTGCCTTTCTTTTGGTATGTTTCCTGTGCTTCTTTACCGTTCAAAATCCATTAGCTTTTGTTTAGTTGTGGAACATGTTTTTTCGAGTCAAATGCCTTTTGTTGTATAGTTGGTTTGTGTGACGTGCTTTTTTTTTCTTTTTCCAAAATGCATTTTGGTGGAATCGTGTTCTTGACCGGAATCAGATCATCAAATGATGATTTTGATCTTGCTTTTAAAAGTTAATATCTTTGATTAGCTTTGTAGATTAGATATTGAAGATTCCGATTTGGTATACTAATAAAATATGAAATTTGAATCATGTCATTACTTGGATTTCATTGCAAACTTTCCAAGTAAGTGTGCACAGTAAGACACATGTGGTCCATGGATGTAGTAGTTCTTATAATCGCATTCTCTAACAATCATCATATATCTTCATTTGATGCTTGAAACTAAAACAATTAAAAGGTTTTCTTATTGACCTTAAATGCATTGTTGAACTGGTAATACCAAAACATGTGAAAATAAATTGCTCTAGATATGTATGCCAACTTTAGTCAACTGAATTACCATTAATTTCTTTTTTCCTTTCCTTTTTGTCCAATTTATTGCGACGTGAATGTGACTAATTCATTTTCTGCAGGTTGATTTCGCCACACTAAGGAGTAGTTTTCTTTTCTTTTCTTCCCTTGCTTTGATAGCCTGATTAAATGAATGGTTGAACTGTAGTTCTATTGAAATTATTTAAAAAACAGTAAGCTCAGATTGATTTAAATTCAACTAATGCTTGGTTTGAGGTTCAATTTTTTTTTAATGCATTCTCATTTTTTCTCATTGGTATTTTTTTAGTATTGTATAGAGTCTTCAGGCATGAGTTATTACTAGTATATATATATATATATATATATATATATATATATATATATGCGTGTGTGTGTATTAAAGTTTTTCCATAAAATTAGGAGATGTTTGGTGCATTAAATACACATGGATTAATGGAAAACAAAAATGTCACAGTAAAAATAGATAAATTCAAATTATGTATTTAGATATAAATAAATATTAAAATTAAGTAATTAATAATTTTATATTTTTTAGTGTTTATTTTTTACTAAATAAGTTTAATTTGGTGTATTCCCTTATAATTTATGCTATGCTTGCTTGTAGTCGGGACGATCCAAAGAATATCTTTCAACTCATCCAGCGTGGGGGCCCACGCAAATCTATTAGGGGCCCAAATCTGTAGAATGACTCTTAAACAAATGGGCTGGGCCAAGTATGAATTTGATGAGAGCTAGGAACCATAAGATAATGCGGTTCACCATCCATGGCTCGTGTTAATCAATGTCAAGTTGGACAAGCTCACAGAAGATGATTCCCAACAAATGTCTTTCTATTGCTACATAATCAATCATAAATCAATTTTATATGTTTAATTTTTTTTTTTTAAAAAAAATATTAAAGAAGAAAGTGAGAAATATATAGTATCCAAGATTATTGAATAACTTTGACATCATATGACAATAACATAAAAATTATTTATAGACTAAACCTTTATCAAGCCGAGCAGACCATACTTTAGTGGTTGAACTAGTATAAAAAATAAGATTAAAAAACTAATCAAATTTTGTAACTTAAACAAACCTGGACAAGTTAAAAATCGAACCGAGACTGGGCCTATAGCAAATAATTGTATCATTTAGTATAATACAGATGCTTGATGCCGAGAAGACCAACGACATCCAACACCAATAGAATCGAAATATACATTACCAAAGACGAAACTGAAGAAAAAAAACAGCTTTAATATTTTATTGCATCAAAAACAAATGACAAAAGAGCTACCTTCCCAGATTCATCTCAATTTTTCTAATTGTAGGGAACAACCGCAATATGCGTTAGCAGAATGCATGTTATCTGCAGCTGCCATAATGCGGGCAATAATCTTTAGGCCTTTTTGGTGGATATCGTCCAAAGAAGATCAGAACTGGATCGCACAGTTACTATCTGTTCTTTTGCAATATTTGATGTACTGACCAAACCACCAAACTTCATTGCTGTATTATCTGAATAGACAAAAAGTTCCATATTAAGTGCATCAGACTTGATATTAAACAGCGGAACCAAAGCACCATTGAAAGACAGACCAAGAAATACATTAGTACCATCACTGTCATTCACACCTAGAACCACTAAAACAAAACTGACAACCCCTACTCAACATAGCACGTTTCATGGGAAAATGAGAAGTGCACCTCGCGCTGATCAGTGGCAGACAAAACCAGTGGAAAAAAACGACCTTACCATGTAACTAGGAAAATAAACCAAGATGGTATAATGGGATTGTGATATTCTTACCGAGATTCCACTCAAGCCCAGTGGTTGTGGTACTTCCTGATGGCATACCAATCGGGATGAGTCCACAATATGGGCCCTCCACAGAGGACTGGATATGGATCTCATGATGATAAGCACTTGGAAGAAGAAGTATGAGGCAATCATCAGTTAACAGAATTATTCGCATGGTTGAGAAACGGCACAGAACATTGATATTTCCAGCCTCATGGTCAAACCTTCCACCAAGTGCTCCAGCGACAAGAATGCATAACTGCAATTTAAAAAAGGAACTAAAATATGGACCAAAGCATGCACACAAGTGACTATCTCCACAAAAATGTAAAGTATTTGTCACAAAATCTATGCCATTTTCTGGATCCTGATCAAAATTGCAACAATACGAAAAGCGCAAGGAAGAAGTTTCAGCTGGTTGCAAAAAAGTACTGTCCATAAACTTCAAGCATACATCAATCAATACTTTATAGAGTGCCTGAAAAACTGAAAATAACTCACATTCGACTTGTCCAGGTCTGGAGTGAAGTTGTCAATAAATGCAATACATTTATGTAGATCTGTGGTGGTCTGATCATCAGATTCATCAATTATCCTGGTTCCCTGCACTTAAATGGGCATACATATCCTGAGAGAGATGGCTATCAAGCACCACACATATACATTCTGTACAAGGACTTTATTATGTAGACTGCAAAAAGATTTTCTCACAAATCCTTGTAACTTGATATATTCCCAATCTTTTTAACCATGATATATGAGCAGTAAACTAGTGAGCTTGTCTACTTGTTTTCCAATAAAGAATTAAAGAATCAATCTAGATAGTGGCTATTCACAGACACACTAAAGTAGACAAACCAAGAAACTCCTATTCAGAAGGCAAACCATGAAGTTTCTAAGTGTACTTACTCAAAAAATAGTCACAACATTTTTTATGCTTTTAAACTACTCATTGGCTTCTAAGGAAATGAAGTAATATATTTCTTATATGTCTATGAAGTTCCTATCCTACATATCTCTTTATGTTTCAGGTAATTTTCACGGAGCTTTTGGAACTTAGTTTAGCATGTAGAGCAATAACTCAGACGATGTAATTCTTAAAGTTATCCTATCCAAGCAAGCCACCAATTAGTGTCTTTTTTAGTCTCACCATCCACCTCTTTCTCACCCAACCCACACTCAAAATAAAATAAAAAAAACACCTCTCCAACAGATCTCATAGATCCTACATAGGAAAATCTATAGGCACAATTTTCCCATTCCATGCACTGGACAAGGTTCCCACTTCCACTTAACATAAGCCAATTATTTTGCAAATCCCTGTTTCTGGTTACAAGAAACCACTGAATGGAAGCTTAACTGCCTTGTGTCTCTTCCAAAGAAAAAAATGGCTTCAATGTAATAGTTTGTCTTTACCTATCAAAAGAAATGAAGCAATAGAAAAAAAGAAACTCTCTTCGCTATCACATATGCTCTGTGGCGGTGTGGCCACTACTTATTAGTCCACAAATATCATCATGCTAAGACAACTGCAAAAGAATCATTACTGGCTTTCAAGTACCAAAAAAAGAATATATCCACCATTAAACATGAGCTATAAAATAATAAACGGTGGGTTGGCATTGTTCCTTTATGATCAGGTTCTTTCGTTGCTATGAATATCAGTTCCCAAGATTACCCAACTTGTGAAAGTAAATATATAAAAATCCCGACAGGGCTTTGCATAAGCTATCATCAATTAAAATCAAAGCAAGGTATGAAAGATGATTCTGCAAAACGAATATAGGTAGTTTACCAGATTTGTATAAAAATCTAGAACTTCAGTTCTGATTGAGTCCATGTCTCCTTTTATGACATCTGGCTTGTACCTGGAAAGGAACAATAATTCAATGCTGCAAGATGGGTTTTTAACAAAAAGATCTGAAGGAAAAACTGTCACATACCCCAACAATATCTAAGAAACACTACAGTATTCTACATTTAGTCCGATTCAAGCGACTCAACTTCCCACAGTTGTCTCATTGGGTCTGAGGCTAAGGGAAACCAAAATAATGCACCTCATTCAAGGCAGTACACTTTCATAATCCTGGTAAAGATAAAGACATAAAAGTGCACATGGAAAGTAACAATAATGAATGTCGAAGAAAAGCCAGGCAAATCAAAGTAGACAACTAATGATTTCAGGCCCAAAAAGTGAATTGCAAAAATGCCAGAGAAGGCAGCAACAGTACAGCACCATAAAGAAGACATGGCCATCATCTGCTCATGACACCACCTGCCTCCAACTCAAGTAGACTTTTATACCACTCCTAGAAAGATTCTAGGACCACAAAGAGCAAACAAAACTTTCTACGCCAGTAATCCTTTCAAACCACATGCCTTAGTCAAACCATACAATTAGTTGCATCTTCTAACCACAAAATGCATATTATCTTTTTGACGGTGGTTGTGCATCCAAATGCAAACATTAAATGAAATCAATTGTCAATTGACAAGGACTTCATTCAAGCATGGAAATCCTGAATTTATTGTCAGTCAATGTGTGAAGGTCATATGAACAAATCAGCTACATTATCCCTTTTTCGCTTTCAATCTTTGCTTTGCTTTGCTTTTTGTTGTTTTTGGTTCCATTTCATTTTTGTAATTGCTCCTTTTAAATTCCGGTCTTGTTTCAATTGTAATTCTTTGCTTGAATTTGTTCTTTTATTCAAATATATTCCATTCCAAGTTAGTTCTCTGCTCGAGATGCATGGGCTAGGCGTCTGTCCTTCATTCCCATCCTTTGTGTTATGTGTTACGTAAATAGAGACTTCCCCTTCCACTCTCCAACATAGGGAACCTCTATTGTTCATGTCGTCAGTCGTATTTCTTTAATAAGAGGACATGTTAAAAGAAATAAATATCATAGATCTCAAACGAGAGATAGATCCATGTACACAAAAAATGTGCTATTTCAATTGGACTGAAACTTGAAAGATACCTTACTTAAAAATAAGGAATTAGTTGAATATGCGAGAAAGAAAAAAAAAAGGAGCACGGTTTGTCTTGGAAAAAGGGTTTTCCAACTGTACCACGACGTTTATTCATAGCACCCAACAGAGTCTCAACTTACAGCATATTTTCATGAACCAACAGTTGGCAATTACCCGTAAAATCTTAGATATGAGATAGTAATTGTAAATTATAAATCAAATAAATTCCACCTCTAGTGAAATGGAATAGTGGATCAAAGAGTCAACAATCGCAAAAACACAAAGAACTGAATACAAATTCGAATTCAATAGCTTAAAGATGTTGAAGAACCTGTTTCGAACAGCGAAGACCTCTTCATGAGGGAAGAGCTGAGGCATCTCATCATACAAACGATTGGCTCCACCATCTGCGCAAAGACGAAGTTGTGCTGCTCTACACAATCAAGAACCTCTCAAACGCATAAACAACTACATAAACCCCCAAAACACACACAAACAGAGAGAGAGAGAGAGGGAGAAATTGCAAGAGATTGTTTGATAAGTACCGTGCTGCCAGAGCAAAGGAGTGAACCGAGGGATGTGTTGGTTGAGAACGACAAGTGCGTAGTTTAGAGCGAGGCCATTCTTGGAGGAAATTTTCGGGAGGAGAAAGGTCGAAGAATGAGTCATTAAGTCCATGGCTAACTTGCGCCGTCCGGATCACCGACTTCACTGGGGTAGAGAGAGAGAGAGAGCACAGCTTCTGCTTATCTTCCCAAAATGTCTCGCCCGGCACTCTTATGATTGAAGCCTAGAGGAATTTTAAGCCACGTGGAAACACATTTAAAAAGTCGTTGGTCAAACTCGAGGATAAATTATACTTGAAACCCCTAAAGTATAACTTTTTTCACATTATTCTTTAATCTATTATATTATTTATATTACACCCTCAATTAAGTGATTGATTTCATACCCTTCTAATTATTAACATCCGTTATGTAGTTAACAAAAAAATATTTTTTACATTCAAACTATATGATTATTTTCACTTTGTTTCGACACATTAATAATTTTTATTCAAAAAAATAACAAACACTTATATCTAACAACAATATGAAATAATTCAAGTTAATAAAGAGTAATATAAAAAATGCAATAGTTTAAAGAGATAAAGTAAAATCGAATCCAGGGTTAAAGTGTACATTGCCCCAAACTCGAGCGACAGAGTAGTGGTAGTGGTAGTGGTTTGGTTTGGTTTATTTCGGACTCATTAATTTTTAAACTAATTTATTTTTGATTAATCATCGTTACTTATTTATTAATCATTATATTCCGATTGACATAAATAATAAAGAAACTAAAAATTCAAGATTAACAGTACGTTATTTCTCAGCTGAACCCCACTATTTATAAAACACTAATTGAATAGATTATAGGGTCAAATTTTAGCACTAACAAAACCTGTCCTTTCATTAACAAATCGTATTATTTTTACATAACATTTACTCTGCTTTTGATATCACTTGTGTAAAGTAGTTTTAATATTTTTATTTTTTTAACGGAAGTTAATAAAAGTAACATTCATTTAGCGAATCCAATTCATTTTTGTACAACAATATTTATACAAATTTCATATTCAGAAAATTAAATTTTCGTTTAAAAATTACTGAAATAAATATCAATTTAAAAGACTCTTAAATTAATTTTGCTAGCATATGAAACAAGAGAATTTTATTGGTCCTGTGCATTTGATTGAGATAAGAAAGTAGAGTCTCAGTCTGACTTCTAATCCCGAACACAACACAATAAACAAGTCGTATTAGATCATCCATCATAAACATTCATTAATTTAATACATCAATTAATGCTCCAATAAAAACTAAAATCATCTATTCTATTGTTAAACACATATAAAATCCAATACACTGGCTTTCATGTCTGTCACTAAAACCCACAATCCAGAAAACATAAAAACTTACATCAACACAATCATCATTCCATCTCAGAAAATAGGAAAAATTGGGAGAAAAGTATGTGATCATGCTTATTATTAAATAGATACACATTGTATGTACAGACAGGAGACCTAGTCAAAACGAAAAATTGGTATGGCAAATTCCCACATAAAGAAAATATATATATATATTAAGAGTTGATCTAAAACTTGTTATGGATGGAATAAAACTAGATATAATACACCCGGGGGGGGGGGGGGGGGGTTGGGTGTGAGAGGAGCCTGCGATGGAATTCCCATGAAAGCAGGTCCCCAATATTGGCTATTATAATTTAATGGTGGAAAAGGCAAAAAAACTAAATAAGGGAATTGTACACACTTGATTACATGAAGTAGCTGAGGGATTTCCTCTTCCTTGAACCACCTTCTCCATATAGTTCATTCCACTGAAAGAGCTCATTCATATTTGCAGACTCTGATGACACACTTGCACATACCTGCATAAAAATAGAAATACAACAAGGCTTATCAACCCTGAAGTGCATGCATACACTTCATCAATGCAAGGAAAAAATATTGGATGTAACCGTGACACCACATCATAATTGCCACATCCGGTGGTGTCACAATTCAATAAAAATATAACAAATAAGCAGGTGAATCCCACATATTTAAGTAACCACCTTGCTATGTCATTCCAAGTGGGGTTCACCTAGCCCATTTGTAGGTTTATTATTGAATTGTGACACCACGTGTCAATAATAATGTGATAGCATTACACCCAATATTTACTCAAGTGTAAGGCATCCCATTGCAACCAAATTCTAGATCTTCAAATGAAAATATGAAACAGCTCAGCTTGGCTTCATAGGAAGCCAGTTTAAAACAGTGAAAAAAAAAAAGTGGATATGCATCTGTAACAATGTAATCTTCCTCTAAACCTCAGTAAGTAATTTCCACAAAACAATATCTAGTCGGTCATTAATGGTGCAAAATTTTTTCGACTGTACCAAATTTGCATCAGTAATCCGAAATTGTTGAGAACGATTGTCAGAAACTTAAAAGGCTACAGGTGAAAAAGCTTCACATGGGAAAAGAAACAGACATAAAAACCAAAGCACAAAAAGGTAAATTAGCCCGATGTTAAAAATGGAACCCAGCTCAAGGTAAACCAATTTTTACCCCCCCCCCCCCCCCCCCCTTGAATGGCCCAATTCAAGCTTGCTTTTACACACTTGTTCCTCTCTGACCCCTCTTACAAACCTAAGGACTTTCTTTCACCACGAGTATTCCTTACAACATAAACAAAAGGGGCCTTCAGTACGGGGCACATAATCCTATCCAATCAAATATTACTATGATTAGGTGGAATATGAAGGCAAAACAACAATTAAAGATATTTTATGTGGCCAGTAATCTTACCTGTTCATGTGCGTATTTAAAATCATCCAAACTCAGAGGGCGAATGTCTGCACTGGTATGCAATGCAGGCAATGGTCTGTTCTCTGTCAATGCCAAACCTTTCTCCTGCAAATTGTGCAATCATATACCACTACACTAGTCAGAAACACCCAAAATTGGTAAAGCATGACAGACATTTCAGTCCAACATGAAAATATGCATATAGTCCAACACTGATGTGTATGCACACTCCAGGGAGCTAAAGTAATCTTAAATCGTTCTTCATAAATACCAAAAACACACCGGGACAAAAGCAGCCAATAATGGGCTATTGGCACTCCAAAAGTGTTAGGAAAGACAGAAAAAGAGGAGAGACTCAAATAAGAATGCTGTCAGGACCATCTAATAATAGAAAATATTACTACTTGCATGAATTGAAACATACACACCACAATAACAAAGCAAAAAAACTCGATAATGATCATGTATTCTAAATGAAACAGTCGGCATCAATCAACCATTTGAACTGATATATAGCCAGAAATGGAATTGTAAACTCCACACGGAACCCCTAAAATTAGGATTAACTATAAGGATCTGTGATTTGAAAAATGACAGTGGGACCCCAATGATTGTAAATTGTTAACTATCCATCAAAAAGTCTATTTACCCTTTATTTAACTGGTAAAAATCAAATAAATAAAACTCTACTCAAATTCCTACCCAGACCCATAACACATGCCCAATATCCCTCTCCCTTCTCAGCCAAATATTTCCCCCTTCCCGTACCTCCAACGCACTGCACCCTCCCCTTACCCCCGGCCCCAACCTTGCACATCTCCATCCAAGATTTTGAAAACTCGGGAGCTATGTCCCAGTGAGTTCTTTAATATTCTTCTCTTCCTCAGTCACCAATTTGAACCCATCTTCGATCAGAGGTGGACTTGCTTTCGCTATCTTGCCCAATTGTTGAGTTAAACTCGCTAATGGATATTGAATTCAAGGACATTAACAGAAACCAAGTGGGTTTGGATCTGTACTCCATGGTTTCAAGGAGACTAGGGTTAAAATTTACCCATACACATCTTGCATCGATGGCATATGGTTCAAAAGGAAGTGCAGTACTGCTTACAAGATGCAGAAGAGGCACTCAACTTGGTGGTGTTATCCTTTGGAACCCTCATGTGTTAAGCCTTACTCTTGGCAAAGTTGTAAAAACCATTTTTCCAAACAGGTGCAAACAATCCCTCAATTGGAGGCTGAACTCCCCAATAGATTTTGTGTCAAAGTCTGCCAATGCACACACACGTGTGAAGACAGAGAGGGAGGTTGGAGATTTTAAAGGCGTGTTTCTTATCAAGGTGTTGCAAAGACGGGGTCTGGTTGGTAGGTATTGTGGAAGTATATGTTGCAATACGTTTCAATGGTGAGTGGAGAGAGAGGATGGACAGTTTGGGTGGGCCTGGCGGTGGTGGAGTAGGAGGAACAATCAATCACATTGTTAATGGAAGAATTATGTAACTTATTTACATAACAGAAAATTTATGTAACTAAACAAATATTAGTAATAGTGAATTGTTATTAATTATCAAAATAAATTGAATTATTAAAATTAAAATTGTAATTAAGTAGTGAAATTGGATATTGATTAGAAAACCAAAGTTAAGTAAGATGCTCAAATTGAATTTAGGAGGTGTAAATTTGTCTCTCCAATATGATTTAGGGATAACATTGTCCTTAATATCACAAGTAAATTTGTCTATCCAATATGATTTAGTGCAGAATTGTCCTTATGTTCTCAAACTTAATATTGAAGGGCATATAGGAATTTTGTTATGCCATCACCTTTGACCATTAGTCTAATCAATGCCCGTCCCACAGAGGGAGTCTGGATGTTACACGTATCAAATGTCATGAGGTTTCAATGTCATTTACCAATCACAGGTGCCAATGTATTTAATCGAAATGTCAAGAGGGTGACATGTATTTTCCCCAAATGGAAATGATATTGTTCGATCAAGAACAAAAAGCCCCATCATCTAAGGGAAATGCATAAATAGCTTGACAACAAAAAAGAAAACTCATATCAATAAGCTCTAACTTCAACCAAGTTTACCGCACTCCACGGTCATATTTCTAATTAAGTAACCCGATCCAATAAATGAATCCGGTACTGATATGGAAAGAATCAAGACACACGGCATGTAGCCATAGTTGATGTTTTTGAAAGGAAATAAACAAAGAGTATCTGAGTGGACAACCAGCATGAATTTCAAAGCAAGGGGAAAATTCTGGGAACTCGGTAACCTATGGAGGGTGTAATTTATGACAATAGAAGACCGAAGGTAAGAGGCAGCTGAATGCAAGAGCACAAAGGCCGTAACTAGAAACAACACAAGAAAAACAACGAGCACTAAAAAAACCATTGTTCATACAACATAAAAGAGATAATGCAGAAAAGACTCGATACCAACAACGCAGTTGACTAAAACAGAATGTTCAAGTTCCTTGCACACATTGCACACACACATTCGATAGTAAGTCTGATAATATGCATAAATTTAGGCAATAACCTCCTCTTTTTAAGACTACTACCACACAATACCATGCATCTAAGGAACCACCAAACTAACCTTCTTTTCCTTCCCCAAAATTTCTCTTATGGGGCAGTGGGCAGCTGTCACACAGAGATTCTGGGACAAAAGAAGAGAGATTTTTTACAAGTCAAGAAGAGAACAGTATAACCCCCATTCAACTCCCAAAAAAAAAAGAACCCCCACAAAGAAAAGGTTAAGATTGGTAATAAGAAGAGAGTTGCCAAACCTTCAAATCGCTTCCTGAATACCCTTCTGTCATACTAGCTACAGCTTCAAGATCTACATTAGGTGCCAGATCTTCTTTAGCAAGTATAACATTTAAAATTTTTAATCTGTTTATAGCATCTGGCAAGTTTACCATCAATCTGTACCAAAAAGGTATACAATTAATCGTCAATGACAGTAACCTTCACACCATCTATATATCATAATCACAAAATGTATGATTATACCTCCGGGGAAGCCTCCTAATAACAGCCTCATCAAGGTCAAAAGGCCTATTCGTTGCAGCAAGAACAAGTACACGCTCCTTATCCTTTGTGCGTAGGCCATCCCAGTTAACCATGAATTCATTTTTCATTTTACGCATTGCTTCATGTTCTCCAGGATTTTCCCGCCTTCCTAACATGCTATCAACCTGTGGTAAATAATATAAGCATAAGTTTAAAACCTCAAAAAGCAACAAAAAGAGAATGGAAAACAAAAGAGATGGCTCAAAAAGAACAATGAAAAGAAAAGGAAGTGGACATATAAGGCAAAAGAAACTATTGCCATCACCAGAAACATTAGAATCATATAATGAAACAAACAATTACTATCACCAGAAGTTAATGAACAAAGTAGAGTAAATAGAGAACTAAGGAAAATTAAATAGAAGATATCTCTTAAATCAAGAATGGAAGTAACCATCTATGTAGCATCTGAATGAATGTACAAACACTATTCTACTAACCTCATCCACAAAAACGACACTAGGAGCTATTTTACTAGCCAGTGAGAAGACTGCTTTGACATATTTTTCTCCTTCACCAAACCACTGCAAGAAATATAAATGATGCAATCCATAAAATCTCAAGTAAACACAAAGTCAAAGACGTGAAAAACAAGGGAATTGGCTTGCCATCAAGACAAAAACCCATATAATACCTTGCATGTCTTATTTTACAATTACTTAAGTTAGTTTGCTGTTAGTGTTTTTTCATGTCTTTTTTATATTCGTAATTTCTAGATTGCTGGAGCAGGTTATGTTATAACCCATCGGTCATCATTTTGGCCAAATTTAGTATTGGATGTTTCTAGATTTAGATTCCTACTTCTAAGTCTATGTTAGATTCCTAAACTTCATGTAATTTGGAGTTCGAATCTTTACAATTCAAAGTGGTGCCTAAGGAACCAGATTGTGTGATGCAACCAAAACCCTAGGTGTAATGCCTAAGGAACCTAGGACTAATTCCTAATTTCCTTCTTTTTTTTTCTTTCTTCTATTTTTCTGCAAGTATCCAAGTCTTAAACCTCATAATTAGATCTGACATATTAATCTTTATAGCCTTAAATGTAATCTATAAAGCCCTATATGTTCACGGTAATTAAAACAGTGCTGGTTTTTGGGTTCATTGCTGTCCTACATCGATAAAGGTGCCAGCAATTTTGAACAAGGAGGCTGCTACAAAATGCTGTGAAGTCGTAAGGTCAATAAAACAAGTACCTTTGAAGTGATGCTTGACATTGATATGTTAATAAAGTTTGCGCCGGCCTCAGTTGCAACAGCTTTCGCAAGCATCGTTTTACCCGTACCAGGAGGTCCAAAGAGCAATATTCCCTTGCAAGGCTGCCAAGAGTCACTCATTTAGCATCCAACCAAACTACGGTAGCTATCTCAAACTCATGATCAACATGTACAAAAGCAATCAACTTGGGGAGAAACAGCATTAAAAACATTTAATCCGTTTACCTTTGTCAACTGTCCTTTACAAAATAATTCTGGCCTTTGAAGAGGTAGCATCACCAATTCTTTCAAAGTATCCTTCACATTTTCTAAGGCTCCAATGTCATCAAAAGTAACACCAATATCACTGGGTGGAATGACATCCGAAAGAAGTTTCTTCTCAAATTCATTCTCCGTAACCACATCCTGAAAACTCGAGTAGCTTATAATCAAATAAGAGATAATACTGTAGGTTACAATATATCCCTAAACCGAGCACGTCATTCCTTTACCTTGAGTGACTTTTTCAAACTCTTGGTCTCATTTTGCATGCCCTGGAGAATGTCGAGCCCATACCTAATACTGCAAATTATACATGAAAGGTAATGTAAATATCCAAACATAAAGAAGATCACCATCTCTGCTAAGTATCATCTTCTTCTACCCACCCCCCTACCCCACTATTCTCCTTCATCTTGTTCTTTCTAATTATTGACGACACAAGTCAAAGAAATGTGGGAACCTTTCACCGGAAATTGCAAGTTTAGCGTCGTTAACCAAAGCTTCAGACCAATGCATAAAGTGATGACTTAAAGCCCATCCAACTATTTTCTCGACGCCTATCAAAAGGAGAACAAGGACAGATGTCAAACAATGAAATAATACACCCAAGGTTAGAAATTGCTAGTTATAGTTTAAGAGAGAACCAACTTTCACTCGTCAAGGCTTGATCTTTTATGCATACCAATTCAAGGTCGGGGCAATCAAGCCCATTTCTATTCAAAACCTGAAATCACGAAGACAGTCATCAAAACCTAATAACATTATGTCATCGTCAGAGAATCACTCTATGCAAAGGTATTCTTCCTATAGTCGCCAAGCCACCCATTCCGCTGGTGCCATCTTGGATACTTCAAAATAAGCTTATAAACAATAAAACCACGTCTACTAACCCCACAACCACCTACACGAGTAGAGTTGTCTAAAATAACCATCTCTACCACAACCACCGCCTACACCCTCATTGTGCATATCTCTTACCTAAGTAGTATACAAGAATATAGCAAGATACCCTGGTCCACAAGTTCTCAAGACAAAATATAGCTCTTTCTTGAGACAACTAATAACAATATGCATATGTACCAATACAGACAAAACAAATAAAGAATCCAATATTGATACTGCAAAAGTAGTGAATAGCTGAGAGATAGAAGCGGCTACTCACAGAGCGAAGGCTGACAATATTTGCTTGCGATTTCAGCGTCTCAATATCGCGATCCAAATGTTCTTTCCAGTCTGAAAGTAGTGTTTCATCCTGCCACCATAGAATAAAACATTGCCTGATTTCAGCATCTCAAAGGAGAAGACAACATCCAATTGTACGCCAAATGTTAGTTACCTGAGGCAACTGGATAGCCACTTTATTTGGGAAGAGGCGGGTGAGTTGCTTCATTGTTTTGGGGGTTTCTTTGCTTTTATCTTGCAATCTACTAAAGCTATCCTGAAAGATAAAATTGAACTCACTTTCTTGCTTCGAGGCAAAAATTCCAATTTCAAATGGAATGCAAAAATTCCGGGCTCATAAGTATATTACAATTCCCGTGGGAGAAAACATGTAGAGGGCAGGCCTAGGTGCAGGGCAAAAAGGCTGCTCCAATGTGACTTGGGTGTCAAGGGTTCAAGTCACAGCAACAGCCCCTCCGCATGCATGTGTAAATTCTGCATATAATTAAACCTCCGCTGGTGTGGGAGTTTTATGCGCTGACCTACCCTTTTTTTATGACAGAAATACATGCATATAATAGAGAACAAATAAATGCAGATATTTATACTAGAGACTGGCACACACAGTATGCGTAGTCCACTCTTTGTATATATAGAGTTACTGTCAGTATCTCATTTAAGGCAGTTAAATGCACTTTAAAATTAACACTTTAATAATGTGTTGACAGTAAGATTGTTCATCAGACACTACAATCTCATCATTCCTTCTAAAGAAATACCTAGAAAGCCTTCAAGTGCAGCAATGCCAGGCACACTTGATTACGTCCTGCAACTTCCCACTGGGTTTCCATTCATTTCGATAAATAACTTGTGTAGTTATCAATTTATCACCTTACAGACCATTTACAAAGGACAAACTCTAATAATTTTTGAAAATAGCGGGAAGTTATCAGCATTCTGTCAAACTCCTAATAAAGTGTTAGAAATTTTGACTTTTAGAAAAATAAAAAAATTCTTTCAGAATTGTGTAGAAAAGAATGGAACAGTTTTTGTAGAAAATTTGTGGTAGAACTTGCCAAAACTTACAAGCCTTGCAATCTTCAAAGTCCAAGCGAAAAAAACAAATTCACAGCACAAACACACGAGCACAAGACGAGAGAGTACACTGGCTCATACACATGCAAACATAATATGTGTTTGTTTTGTTTGTGTGTGTGTGAGAGAGAGACAGAGAGAGAACAAATTAGTTTCACATACAGGGAAAGCGAGGTCGAGCAATGCTGTCTGGTTGCTTCCAAACTTCGTAAACAGAAGTCCACCAGGATGAGACTGGAGAACATGTTGGCGTTAGTATTGCTAACCATGTCAGATATGTATACTGTACATATCTTTCTATGTCCATGAAGGGAAGGTTGCATAATAATACAAAAACACCAGCACCAGTCACTTACTTTTTCCTTCCTACTGTCCAACTGCGTATGGGAAGCAGTTACAACAACATTTTCTGGTAAATTTTCAAGCCTAATCTTAAAAGCTGCATATGTCTCCGGATTCCCCACCATAGACTTCTCAATGTCTTTAAGAAACAAAATTAACGGACTAATTTTACTTTCGTTTGAAGCAACCTATACAGTGAACACACTTTAAATCACATAGGTCATAGTAGAAAAATGGCTGCAATTGTCATGATGTAAATAGTATGCAAGAATTCACCTCAAAGAGTTCATTAATGGCAAGCTTGTCAATATCATCACCAGTGGAACAATCAAGGCGGAGTAGATCGGCTGCACAGTGAGCAATCAGAATTGACCATGAACCCATGGTTAATAATAAAGGAAACCAAGTGTTGCAGCAAATGGTAAGCCCACAAAATTGTAGAAAAATGGCATGAAATTAAATAAAACAATCACCAGCACAAAAGAAACCGTGATCTTCCTCACAAAGTCCCCCAAGATTATTGCCTTCAGGAATTGATCTATCAAATCTAACCCCAATTTTAGAAAAGGCATTTTCTTCAAATGCAAGAAGCACTTTACCTCTACATCCATAAGTAGGTCCCCTGCAAAGACAAACCCAAAGGCAAAGGTTTATATTCTATCAAATGAACCTATTAAAACTGAACACTTCCGCATCATTTACTTTATCCGGTACAAAGCAGATGCAACCTTCAAACATGTAAGCAAGTTGGTCGGGGCAAAATTTGAAAGCATTAGACCTTACAGTCCTCATGAAACTCATAACCTCCAGATCCAAGCATAGCATCAGTGGAATTTCAAGTGAAATAAAAAAATATTAAAATCAAAGAAAGCGAAGGCCCAGATGCACATGCATAGGCAAAACACATGTTGCATTAAGTTTTCAGCCTGTAATTGTAATATATTGACTCCTTTTTGCTTGATGTGGATGTGGACCCTTTGAGAAGAGGAGTGAGTTCCTTTGACAGGATAACAGTTCCCCTACATAAGCTAAATCTAATGTTATGGCTTCGTTATTTTCTTCATATAAGGTGTTTCCAAGGCTACAAGCCTACAACAGACACTTCACACCACTTTGGAAAAATATAAGGCTTGCCCATATCACCAACAACACATTACAGTCCTCTTTGAGAACAGTTAATGAACGGCCCAACGCAAGAGGCTCCAGTCACAGTGATAGCTGGGAAGCCTACGCCCCGTGAGCGAAGAGGAGGTTTCCACAACTCAAACCCTTAACACCTACCATGGTCATGATGGAGCAACCTTACGCCAAGGCCCACCCTCTCTTTGGTATCCATTATTTTAATGGCAAAGACAATTAATTCAAGGTTCAGAGAACTACTCAATTTTATTTCCTGCCAAAGCTAGGTACAATTTTATTTGGTGAATGCAACCACTTCTTTTTTATATAAGCTAGATTCACAAGTCGGGAGCTGGGCTAATCAAATAACTTATCAGATGCCAACTATATCTAACTTGAGTTGGTTGAAATTGCAATGGTACCTCAAAGCGCTTTGCAGAGGAGAAAACCCACATTGTAAAGAACCCACGTATTTCACTCTATCACCTGCCAAAATGAAAATTGTTCATGCAATAGTGCAATGGTGACTAAAAGACCAAATAGCTTAATAGGGCACAGATACTCAAAAAGGACAAAAAAATCATGGCACAAGCATAGTGGCAGGCGGTTTGGAAAGCTATCTACTCAATTACTACATGTTATGAATAACAAAGAACAAGGATCCAATACCTTTCTTGAAAGTGTAGTTTTTTGATGATGCTGTAGATGCCTCCTGCTTAGGCTGAACCAAAGAGCTTATGGTAGATCCACCAGTTATATCAGCCTCAACACTTGAAGCTGGTTTCTTTAGATGTAATGCAGCCGCCTGTGCAGCACGTTTCGCAAAAACACTTGCTCTTTCAGGCCTTGAACTTTCTTTTGCAGGATCAAGTTCCTTAGGTATTGACCCCTAAAATGGCATTACGGTGTACATTAGGAAAACTAACAAGCCTCATAGTTGTCAACTCCTCCCTGGTTATGGATGAAAACAATGCTGCGGAGGGTCTTAAGCATTAAATAGAGAGAAACAATATAGACCGATAGAGGAAAGCAAACCAATTTTGTTACAGAATACTTAATATGGCCAAGCAAGAAGCTTACACCAGGAAACAAAAGGGAATCTACAATGAGAAGCCTAGCACCAAAATGTTTGGCAAGCGCCTTGGTCAATGTTTCCTGATATATTTCCGAACCTACAACAAAGTTTGAGAAATATAACGTCCAAGTTGGAATCAAACAGCAAGAAACAAACACAGTATAAATTTGATGTATCATCAAAAAATGGAGGTAATACCTGCAGGACCAGACAATAATATTCTTGGGCATACGGTAGGGAGATCCAAGGTGTACTTCGCAAATTTATGCCGCATCAAATGGATGTATGTCGAAGCAATCAGAACATTCTTTGTAACCTCACTGTCAAAACACCCAAATTTGTATATAACATTATCCCCTAGCTTAATTGACTAAACCACATATATAGCACCCGTACATCAAAAGGGATAAAAGATTGCAAAGGCATGAAGTCAACAATGCAATAATAGTGAACAGAATCAAGCAGCAGATAACTTGACAATCCAAAAGGAACAACATTCATGAGACAGATGAAGAGCACTTCTGCCATTAGTGTTATATCTAAGGCAGAATTTTCCCTGTTATCAGCCACAGCAGGGATTTTGTCGTAACCACAGCTAAGGCAGATTGTTGAAGAATTTCATCACCACAGCTAACTACAGCTGCAGAGAATTGGGCATATCTACCACAATAACACCATCCAAGTAGTAAAAGGATTTTCCCATATCCTCCTTAGACATTTCAAACTTCAACTATAAGAATAAACATAGGATTTAAGTTGTCAGAAATTATTTAAAACAACAAGCAGTAACCTTGTCCATGGTCAAATTTTCTTTCTTAGTAATATTATTGGCATTTAAATTATCAATAACCACAAAACTAAAATCACGTATCACAGAATGCAAATAAGGCTGTCAAAAATCCCCAAAAAAAAAAAAAAACTTCAGAAGAAAAAGATACACCAAGTGAAAAACATAGCACTGACTAATCAAAATGAAGATTAATTAAGAGACAAAAAATCAACTTTTCTTGAAACTACACCTCTCCTTTCTGTGACCAAGTTGGAAGCAGTAACTCCCTCTGGAATCAAAGGAAAGCATCACCCCAGGATGTGCAAAATTTCTATCAATAAAAAATAGCCAATTCATACCCCACCCACTTGTACCTTTCTATCTTTAAAACATAACAGAACATCGTAAGACCTAAAAATATTTCAGGTGCTAATGTCACTCATCTGAAGTACATCCCAACCATCAAGGAGATCCACACAATCATCCAGCCATCAGTCAAATAAATTCTTACATACCTCCATTCTGAGAAATCAGGGTCCTACCTTCCCAGTCAACACACTCTTGAAACAACCATATGCCTACATTAATAGACAGTCCTTATAGGACAAAGGACAATCATATGGTCCAGAATAAAATGGCTGCCTAAGAATAACCATATAACATTTCAGTGCAGATGAGCTGCCATGTATTCAACAATGAAATATATCATATTCCCATACACCGTACCAAAGATCCAAATTTCGTTTCAGGGCATTCTTTCGGTGGTCTTTTTTAAAATGGATATGTTTCAAAAACAGAACGAAAACGGATAAAAATTTTGAGCATTTATTTTCAAATCATTCCCAACCATTAATCAAAATATACTAAAACACCTTGTAATATTACAAAAGATTGGTTAAAACATGTTGAATCATCTCAAAACACCTCGAAACATTTTGAAACACTCAAAGAATTGGAATTTCGATTCAATCACTGATTCGTTTCGATTTGAAAACGGAAACATTTCGGCCATTTCAAAACAAAATTTTGATCCTTGTATCGTACTATTAATTAAAATATTTAAAAAAAAAAAACCACAAGAACCAAGATAAGAGAGAAATGATGTAAGCAAAAACATCCAAGGATGGCAACATAAGTAGATGCTTCTCTTAATCTTTTTGTAGAAAGAGAGATTTGAGATTTGCATGTGTAGTCACAAAATGAAATTAAAACATTGATCACCATCAAGACTAACCTTTAGATAAGACATGTCAGACTAACCTAAGCATCCATATAACATATTACCAAAAGAACCTAACTTAAAGACATTCCAACGTGCAGACACTGATATCAGAAGTGTAATAACAATAACATTGCTTTTCAGCAAAGGCACAGCCGAACTATAAGAAAGTTTTTCATGTCACAAAAAAGTAGAGGTAAAAAGTTCCTTAACTGCCTAATATTGAGTTTGCAAAATTCACCTTAGATAATACGGAAAGTTTTCAAATGAAACATCAATGCTGTTGGCATCTAGTATTCCTTGTGTTAACCCATCTTTAAAAGCTTGGCACCTTGTTGACGTCAAAACTGAAGGATTAAAATCCTTCAATTCTCTGGCTTCCTTTGGTTCATCAAGAATTTTAGAAATGCTACCACTCAAATCAAAATCGGGAACAGATGATCCTGCAAGCATCCGCAGAAGAGGCCTCAACTCATGAGTTGCCCCTGGTACTTTTCCAAATTTTGCAACAACAGAAGCATCCAGTCCAATGCTATCAAGATTCAAGTTTTCATTAGCAGCATCCAAAGAAGGAGTAACAGCCTTCTCACTCAATGAAACACCCAATCTGTCATTGTGATCAGAAGTGTCCTTCATGTCAGCATCCCCAACATGATTATCTGACATTTCACAAGCAGAAGGTAGTACAGCCATCTCAGAACCTTGTTGCGCATCCTCGGCATTTCCAGAAGATGGAGGACTAAGGGACAGCTTATTTTGAAGATTTGACAATGATGCCAATGTTGATGCTACTGCAACAGTAGAGGGATCTCCTGATCTTGCCTCAAGATGTAATCCTTCAACTGGACCATTATGGGTTTCTAATATGCTTACTGAAGGCGGCGTGCCAGAAGCAGCTAAGTTCTCATTGGCAACTTGCTGGAAGATCTAATAATACATTAAGGAAACTTGTTTCCCCTCCAGGGAAGTAAAGAGGATTAAATCCACATTACACTACAGGTAAAGAAATTAATGAACAGAAACTGCAATAAACATCTAACCTCACACACAGACCTGAAAAAGTAAAGAGGATACATAAGCATGTTTTCCAGATAAACTAAAGACCACCTCATCACCCTCACTCAGTGGTACAGTGGAGTTTTTAGGATAAACCTTGCCGTTTACTTGGACAGCACCTTTTCCCCCAGTAATTTCAAGTAAAGTGACAGATGTACCTCCTCTCTAAGCATATAAGGAAGAGTCAAGTTATAAAGACCAATCATAAACAAATCAGAAGTAGGAAACAAAATACTCCATCACCATGTAGGGCATGAATCTTATTTATCAGCAGAGGAACATATATGTTTTGTGAACAAATAGAACAGTGGGTACCTCCGAATCTATGTGCTTCAGACTACAAAGGGTTTTACTAATGGATGGATCTCTCAGCCACAAGTCACATTGACGTCCTTGACCAACAGTGAAAATTGAACGATCCATAACCACATGAGGATTCTGGAGAGAATGAAAAACTTATGAATGTTAGAAACCATACAAAGTTGGTTCACGCATTATTGTGGAATTCATGTCCAAAATCAACAAATTCTACGTCCTTCTAGAAACACAGAATATAAAAGCATATTTTAAACAAAAATCATAACCTTTATCTACGGTAACATACGAGTTCAAGTCCCAGATACAGATAGAGAGCAATAGGCCTCCATTTCCCACCACCAGCATATTACAATATCTTAAGCCGGAAGTGGAATAGTGATGGGTTAAGAACGGCCAGTTAGCTGACATGTTGAAGATATCAAATATTCTATGCGCAACATGCAAGTGAAGTGGCAGAGTAAGGGTGCACAATGCAGAGGAATGGACTGCACAAGTAAAATGGGCATGGCATAGTCAAATAAAGCTGTCAAAAGGGTATGCTGCCTACTGTTTCAAGGAAGATAGCAATCTCATGAGAGGAAAGAATACACCAAACTATACTCTGATGTGGCACAAATAAAAAAGACTGAGGCAAGGGCATGAGTCGGTGATTGAGAAAAATATTCAAAATTTTATTCCCTTGCACCCCAACAAGTTTCCCAAGGTCAATTGCCAAAGTGAGCACAAATCAGACCTTAGCCAATGCAGAAAATAATAAGCTCAAGTCAAGTCAAATTTGTTATTGCAAATTTGTTTGATTTCAAAGAAGAGGAAACTTGAGACCTTGCACGATTGAGTTCTGAATTTTATTGAGATATACTTTAAGTTGTTTCAGTTAGCAAGAAGCAGAATTTTCATGAGGTTTTAGTACAATCTAGGCATCACCATGTTGAGCTCAACTCAGTTCACCTCAAATAGAAGCTCGCAAGCCAAGTCGTTGCCCCTCATGCGCAACGTCTAAGAAACAAAGCAGCTGAAGTCCTTTAAGATAGGACCCTCTGCCACTCTTTACTTGTGTTTTTCCAATGTGGAATTCTTTGTTTGTAGCTGATGCAGTGTTACTTAGATCATGGATTACTTTGGTACGTGGTACAAGTACAGGGTATGTTAATTTTTGCAGAACATGATACAATAGGGGTAGGCTTAGCTGGTACGCTAATTTGGGTGGTGGTTCGTTTTGAAATCTTATTTGGTTCGCTTTTACTATTGTAAGAAATTATATATAAATATGCATCTATACACAAATGGTGAATTAATATTTATGCATATGATAGTTTTCAATATTTTTTTAATTATATGCATCGACGTCATTCGGTCCATGTTTTTGGTCTTTTTTTTTTTTTGGCCCCTATAGCACTACTCATTTATTTTTTAAGTCTATCGGACCGAAGAAACTTTATCAAAGTGAGTTGGTTTCTAAAGATACTTTTTAACTTTTCAATCAGGTTTTTCTTTTTATTGGCCACTTTTTGGCTAAAGGGACATAGGCTGCAGCTTACTTTAAAAGCTTTAATAATTAATTATTTGTCTTTTTTTTCCCTAGGGCTTCAACGTTAGCTCCTATTTTTTTTGTGAGGCCGAATATTTTATGCGGTGTAAAATCCCACTTTAAAAAACATCTAATTTTTCTTGATCCATTCTTAACGCCAGAAATACAAATAGAGAAGATCCCGGAATCCACACAGAGTGACAGAGTATTGCCATTAAAGAAGCAAATACCATACCTCAAACAAACCATAGGGCCAGACTGCAATGCCCTTCTTTTCCCCTCAACCCTTACTTTCCCGTCAAAGTAGATTTGAAAAAACAAACACCAATGGAGTTTTGCTTGCATGAAGGTGCGATGAAGTTTGTGCGAAATTAGCGACAAAGGGGAGAAATCAGCACCTACATTCTCTCGCAGATTGAGATGTATTGATATGTATATTATCCACCATCTTCATGCATCTATTTTTGGCTTCTCTTCTGCTATGTTTCTCTAAATTTTGCAACAATTTTGAATTAGGTCCGAGTTTGAGATAACGATTTGGGGTGGGTAATTCGTCGTTAAGGATAAATTTGAGGACGTTAGTTTCACTGATTTGGTACATGCACGTATCCTGATTGGGGTGGACAGACCCATATCATGGGTCGCCTATTTTGGATCGATGCGCTGACCACTATGCCAAACCAGCTGATTGTGAGTAAGGTGCAACATCTATCTTTTCAACTATCCCAGTAGTGCACACAGGTCAGGCTAGTTAAGCCATGGTTCAAGGTCGCAGTGTTGGCCCTTGACTCGAGGGCCACTGAGATACATCGGTCGCAGCGCAGTATCGGCCGATACGAACAAAACACTATATAAAAGGCTCAAAAAAATTAGAAAAAATTGAATAAATGTAAATATCATCATTCATGTATCATATCTATAAAAGACATTATTTAACACATTAATTATTACAAAAAAGAATAATAAGGATGCTACCAAAAAATATTTATTATCATCTACATTCAAGGTTGATATAATTTAATTTGTAATTTTTAAAAATTATAAAAAATATTAGTGTATATATAATTATATACGGTTAATTTTATAGCTTTAAAAGAAAATCTATTTATAAAGAAATTCTTCATTTAATTATTTAATATGCATCTAATTAAAAATTTTATGTATTTTTTCCATTATGTACATTTAATGATTAAATTATCAATACATATACAAAATCAAACTTAAGAAGTTAAGTTCTAATTAGATTATATGATAAATTAAAAAAATTGGACCAAAACCTAAAAAACATAAAGAAATGGGGGAATAAATTTTTGGGTCTCATTCCTAAAAAAAAAAAGCCAAAGCCTCACATATTTTGACCAAAAAAAAAAAAAAACTCTCAGACTTCGACGAACAGAACATGCGATCGAGAGAGAGCGAGAGAGCACAGAGATGATGGGTCTGGGAGTCAATGCAGGTCACTGAGGACTCGCTGGGAGGGATCTGAGTCTCTGACTCATCTGCGATGCTAGGGTTTCTTCGAGAGATGACTAGTAGAGAACGAAGAGAGAAGTCTCAAGGGAAAGCTCACGTGAAGGCAAAGTCCTCTTCTACTCAAGACTCATCGTGAAGGCTGGGTCATTTGCTACTCAAGTAGACCAATCGTTGAGCAACCTAGGGTTTTTGCAATTAATCTGCGATGATGATCGATGATGCTGAATCCTCTGTTATTGCGAAGAAGAAGAAAAGTAAGAACAAATAGTAGGAAAGGGTCTCTAATTTAGGGAGATTTCTCACAATTTTTCAAGTTTGTGTTCAATTTTGTTCTAACTTTCTTATTTTGTTTTTATTATGGTAAAAGGGGGTCTGATTTAGGATTAATTTTCACATCTTTTTTGCCTTTTTTTTTTGGCATTTTCTTTGTTGCTTGAAAGTTGGTCGACGATTCTGTGCGTATTAGTTCGATTCAAAAGTGAATCGACTGAGTTAAACTAAGTTAAATCCGAGTTTGTCCAAATTGGCCCGAGTCAAAACCAATTCATGGTAGACTCGTGATAGTCTTGTTTTGTGTATCGTTATCGGATCAATGCGTGCCGAGGCTAATACAGCTCGATCGAGTTATATCCAACTCAGCCGATACTTTGAACCTTGAGTTAAGCCCTCTCCCGAGTCTCAGGCAAACGTTTTGCACCTCTACCCTGATCAACAATCTCTCCCCCCCCCCCAAAAAAAACAAAAAAAAAACTACCCTGGGACTCAAACCCGTGACCTCGCTCTGATGCCAATTATTGGATCGATGTGCTGACCAGTATGCCAAGACCAGCTAGAAGAGTAAGGTGCAACATCTATCTTTTCAACTATCCTAGTAGCACACACGGGTCAAACTGATTAAGCCCACCTCGAGTCTCAAGAAGACTTGCAACACCTCTACCCAGACCAACATCCTATGTTCTTGTCGACCTTGATATCCCTACGCTGAAGTCCCTTTAGATAGAAGTTTGCAAGCCAAGTCATTGCCCCTCATGTCTGATACTTCTTTGAAGCGTGTGAATTGAGAAAATAAGAATAATTATTTAAATTATATATATTGGCTACACATAAGTCACAAAACAATTAATGATTATTGACTATTATGATACTTTAATCTAAAAATTTACACTAGATGACTAGACATAGGTCGCATAGCATTTACTTATCATAAAGTACTGAATTTTATATGAATGTCAATCATTATAACTATATTTGTTATACATTATATAATTTCCTATATAAAAAAAAAGTATGTATTCTATTTTTTTGAGAAATGTCATATTCACGTGTCCGTGTTATATCGTGTTTGTATGCATTCTTAGGTTGTGATCATAACAACCTAAAAATAAAAATCTCAATTTTGAACAAGTGTCCAACAATTTTTGGAGACTTGAAAATATCTAACTTGGAAAACTTGAAAGTTACGTTAGTACTTTCTTACATAACATAAAGGAAAATTATGATTTAATTTAAAATAGCACATTTTACTGTTTTAAAAGAAAATAAGATGAAACATGAAGATTTAATTAAAGAAGCTGGTAGTGAATACGATGACACATTAGTCATAAATTTCATAAAACACAATGGATATGAAATTTTGTTTGAATATTTCATAATTTGTAAACATATATAAACCGAATACACTCCTGCATAGAAAACATTTTCTTGTTAGTGGTTTCACAACGTATACATGTTAGTGATCTATTTTTTTGGATTTACATGTCTATAACGTGTTGTAGCCTGTTCAATTCCCGAATCCGTGCTTTTTCAATGTGATAAATAAGTCGTAGTGAAGTCTACAAAAGACAACCAGGGTAGTGGGAGATAACGTTTCTAATATTTACCATCTATTCCCTCCTAGGGCTTTTATTAGTTTAAATATACTTTGTCTAAATCAGATGGTTGTAAATGTAAGACAACACCATCTTATTATCTTCTTACACGAAATAAATCATAGGTTCTTTCATTTTAAATTCCATTCAAATAGCTATGGTATTCATATTTGAACTACATTTTTCCAAAGATAAATTGTTGTATCCTAATGTGTCCCAATATTTTGTGTCCCCTAACTGTATCTCTAGTGTATCCAAACGGATTCGAATTTCCAAAAATTCTAGTTGTTTAATGTTTCAAAAGTATATCCATATCCTAGACGTGTTCAAAGAGGTGTCCGGGCTTCCTAGAAGACAAATGTGAGGAAAACATCACTATGAGCTTGAGGCTACATGGGTTAGCAAAGGCAGCAATTCGTACATTATACACTGAGTAGCAATTCATACTGTCTACCAAATTATCAAGAGGACAAAAAATCAATTAGTTGAAACATATTCAAATGTTAATGATATTGGCAACCACATCTTCCACTTATATGGCGTTAGCAAATATCTTCTCATAATGTCTTGGAGAAGGGTGTTAGGCACTTGTGGCTATAATTTCCTATAACCAAGGAACTTGCAAGCTTAAATTATGCAATATGTCAAATCCATAGAGCTTGTGGAACCTATCAAATTTCATAGACAGATACCAATATACAGTACATGTCTAATCCTTCATAATCTCTTTGCAGCAAAATAAATACACATGCAAGCAATTTCAGTTAATTTTCAGATTTAATTTTTCGTAAGCATCCAGTGTGGATGGAGATTAAAAGTTGGAAATATTAGAACTGTTTGCTCTACTGATTGTGTGGAGTGTAATTTATGAGATCCAAACTCCATCCAAAGTAATGTGGAACGAGGTTGTTCACTTGTTCCGTTCCTAGTTGACTTTTTTTGTTTGATTAGGAAGATCTAGATATTATATCAAGGCTGGCCATTTAAGTTTTCAGAAGGCAAGCTATCCTATGGGTATGCAGGAATACCAATTGTCTGGTGAAGCAATAAAGGCCCGGCAAACTTTCCAGGATTCTCCATTACCACCCACCCATCGCCTGCAAGACATCATCTGACTATCCAGCTACAAAGTTCAAGATTAACTCCCCTGATAGAGGCATCTAGTCCTAAAATCATAAAATTCATATAAGGGGACGGATGTCTGTAAGCAGGGCAACTATTTATTAAGCCAACCCAAAACCACAAAAAAAAAAAAAAAAAACAGCACACCTTAAAAGCATAGTAATGCAATGAGTGGAAACTGAAAATCCTACCTGTGAACATTGCGAAAGAAGCTTTCCCCATGCCACCCCAACATTTGATTTCATTTGTCGTTTCTTTCCTCGGTTCAACACCGCGCAATTTAACCTCGTCTTCTCCACATCAATCGCCGAGTCACCTATTACCCACCACCAAAATTAATTTAAAAAAAAAAACAAAGACAAATGAACAAGGCAAAAAAAACCAAGCAAGTCAAAGCGCATGCAAAGAAAAAGATCTCACCTAAAGACATCGGAGACACCAAAGGCTCACTTTCCACTTGCCCATCAGGAGATTTCTCGGCCACGGTTCCTTCGGTTGGTTTCACAAAAACCGGATCAGATGATCGATCCGCATGGTCTCGAGAATCGATCCCAGATTGCTTCAGCGAATCTAGGGTTTCTATTGGCTGCGCACATGTTGTGTCGTTAGTGGACGACGAAGCCTCCGCCGCCTAAACTACCGACAAGAAAAATCAAAACCCAAAAGAATAAATAAATCTAACAATAAAATGACATATACATGTGTATGCTTGAAAACTCGATGATTGACACAAACCCTAAACCTAGACTGCGAAAAGAAGAGGACCTTGGATCGCTTGCCGTTGGGGAGAGGAGAGGAAGCAGAAGATAGGGGGCGTTTCGATGAAGAAGAGCTTCGTCTGGTTTCTACCATGTTCGATCTTATTTCCTTTGTTGATTCGAAGATTGTTGACGAGAATCGGCAGAGAGATGAATAGAGAGAGCAAGACAGAGAGAGAGCTTGAATGATTGCGAGAGATCAGTTATCAAGCTTTTGTCTTTGTTGGAGAGAGAGAAAGGTGTTGGGGTGGGTTTTGAAGCAGCAGGAGTAGGAAGGCAAAGGCTTGGATTAATAAATAATAATGATAAATAATACAGTTGGGAAGAGCGGAAAAAATAAATGACGTTTTGGTCCAAATAAAGCTAGGGGCAATTCGGACAATTTACTGCCGATTTTGTTATTATTGTATATATTAGTAAATAAATTTAAATAATATTTTTATAGGAAATTTGAATTATATATATATAATTAAATTAAATAATAAATTAGGTACAGAATAATTAATTTATACTTTAATTTTTATTAAATTTAATTATTAATTTATTTTATAAATCTTTGATTACTTACTATATTATTTATTTAAGTACTAGCTGTTGCACGTGTATTATTTTGAGTATAATATATTTTGTTGATAAATGTTGATAATTTATCAACAAAGGACCACATCTATAACAAAAAATATCAATGTAACATTGAATAGAATAGTTGGAGAAAATACATCGTACTTTATTTTTTATCATTTCCAAGTTCTCAACACGTTTCAAACATAGACCTCTAGTGATAGTAATAACATGGGTTTTCGAGATCTGGGCATTCCAACGTAGGTTTCATATATTGAGATATATCAAGTATGTTTTAAAAAAAAATAATAATTGACAAAAAAAGTTTCTTAGTAGACAATGAATGACCATGTAAATCTAATATGTAGTTATCATCAACACTATTAGTTCTGGAGTAAACAAGAAATCTAATAATAGGTATTGTTTAGACATAATTAAAAAAACAAGCAATGTTCATACCTTCTAATTATTAGTTAGTACAAACGTGCGTTGCACGTGAACCATTGTTAAAATTTAAGGTTTAAGTTTATATATATCTAGTTAAGAAATTAATATACAAAGTAAAATAATTAGGGAAAAAAATTCATATATTATTTGAATTGGCTACTCATATAGATGAAAAAGGGCTGAAAGTCGGATCACTAAAGCCGACTACGAAAGATGACTAGTGCATGGGATACATTGAAGCATTGAAAAACAAAATCAATATTAAATTTATGACACATAATTGCCTAGAAAGAGAGGTGGCTATTGTAACATTTACTTTTAAAATAGACAAATTAGTAACATCCTACAATTTGGGCATTGGATTCTTTACGCATAAAAAGTCAAGATTGCTCAATGCACCAGCTTTATGACATTTGCTGACAATTAAGAAGGTTGACCTATATATAAATTTGGAACAATCATCCTGCATAATAGACTAAATATATGATAAACAAAATTCAATGCCTTGATAAGCTTAATAATTTATATTAGTTGAATGCTGAAAACGAATTATTTTTTTTTTTTGGGTTAGAAAAATGAAACAATTGTCAACATGTGTTTTTAACAAAATATGATCGGATTATAGATTAAGTTTGCAAAGAAATGAAGCAATAAATGCAATAAGTGTCCATCAACAAAAATAATGCTTCAAAATGTTGATTTAGCGTTGTACACACGAGTGGAAGAAGTATAAAAAATAAAAAACCTAAAGTTCTGAAGTGGTTGCAAAAGAGACCAAATTAGGGTTGAAAAATGCCTAACACATTATGAATGACAAAGGAACATAGTATGTGATTGTCAATATCAAATACATGACTCCACCTCTTCTAATCTTGTGCGAAATATGATTTATTCTAACAAACCGATTGTCAAATGTTCTCAATTGTGATTGTCGCCTTTGGGTCTATTGTAACAAAGAAATAGCATATTACAATTACATAAATTAACATACAAAATGTATTATAACAAAATATAATCCCCATACCAAAAAAAAATGAGATAAAAGCATTTGAAACAAGTTCATCACTAAACCTGACATGCCTCTTCCCAAGCATTTAGGAAGCTATAAAGATCCACATTTTCGCATGATATGATTGTATTTTATCAAACAAAATAGTACCATTAGAAAAAAAGAAAAACCACAATTGGAAGAGAGGTTCAAAAGTTGATTGTTGTAAAAAAAATTATTATTTTTAGAAATATTTAGATCCATATGACCACTGTGTGTATGTTTATGTATTAGTGGTATGGTGTTAAATAAAATTCTATCACTCAAAAAAATAGAAGAAACACAATTAGAGAGCTAAATAAGCTGATAAGTGTGAAGAAAGTAATCTTCAAAAAACATAAAGTAAGCACTCAAAGCACAAAAAAAAAAAAAAGAAATTACATAAATAGTAGCACATAAGAAATTATTAAACTTCACGCAAGAGCCATCTCATAATAGAGATGAAAATAAACTGTTGCAAATAAACTAATCTTTATCAATTAGGACAAAATGGAGTTAAATGAAACTCGATAACCATATATCAGTTTTCTCTAAGAAAATAAAGTCAACTATATTTCTAATACACATCAAAAGATAGACCGGTGCATGGAATACATTGAAACATTGAAAAACAATATCAATATTAAATTTAGGTACCACAATATAAATGTCAAGTCTAATCAAAGTACCGAAATTCTTTTAACTTTATTGATTTGTTTTTGTCATTGAAAAGTCCAAATGACGCACAATTTTGTTAAAAGTTTCTCGGGCACATGTTGACACGCAAGATATTTTTAGGAATTCTAAGACTCTATGCATTATTTGCACAAAGCTGATTTAATCAAGGCCGAAACAAGCACAAAAACCAATTACAATGACTCACATGGCATGATGTCCTTCTGCAAAAAGATTGAACTTCTTGTCTCCTACCAGTACCACAATAATCTTGTCACAAGTTGAGCTTTTTCTTCATGAACAGCCTGAAATACAAGGGCATTGATTTGAAGCTGTGGTCATGAGCAGAAAATACCAACAGAGTACTTGGCCAGCTTGGTCAATGACCATGCTAACTAGAGCAACTAGCTTTTTTCCAAACTCATAAATTTTATTTCCAAACCCAATCAATTTTAAACTTATTTCTCAAATTCAGTCAATTTTTAAAAACGTCATTCTAAATGATGCTTTCATAGATTAAAATGTCATTTGAAATAACTGATTTTTTTTATTAAAAATGTCATTTAAAATAACGTTTTTAAAACGTTATTTTTATTGACATTTTTTGAAATAAACTTTCAAACGATAACTAACAGACGTTAAAAAAAATAGTGAATAAACAATATCACTTAAAATGACGTTCTCTTCCCACTTATAATCAGGCCCAACTTTCACAAATCGATTTAACCATCCTCTCCACTCCACACCTCCGACGAAGATCACTCCGGTGCAGGCTTTTACTGCCGACAAATACCACTCCGGCGCTAGAACCTGCCTCCGACGAAGACACTCCACCGAAGAAAGATCTGAGGTTTGAGAAGGAGTTCGCAAAACTGTAGAGTCTCTGTCTATTTCTGTTCAATAGAGGAATGCTTCCAGAGATACAGGTAGGCCAGAAATCCTTTTATGAGAATATCAGGCCAGCCATTACCTGATCTATGCATCTTCCCAAACATGTCTGGATCTCTATTTATATGCAAGCTCTGTAGTAAAAGATTATGTCCTGTTAATGATTATCTAACAAATTTATTTAGTTTTTGGATAAATTAGCATCACTACTTCTACTGAAAACTTCATCATTACCTAAACACATGATCCCATGCATTTGAAGTGTGTTTTTGGATATCAAAGATTGATTGTTTTTTGAATTATTTCACATCTTAATTTTCTTATCTATTGCACCCAACATATATAAACACTTGGTGTATAACATGTCGTATGCACGTATAATATTTTGCCCCCCTCAAAATTTGGCTGGTCTTCGACATGGAAACTAAGAGCTATCAGCTAACTGAAAAATGTCAGAACCCTACTATTAATTGTATTTTTAACTGGCCTATTATTAATTATTGAGTTCCTAGAAGTAGTGGAGCTGTGCCACTGGTAATTCTAAAGCAGTCAGCATCCTGCAATTTTTTTCACCCCTTTAATTTATTTTGTTTCATTTTGTTTTCTTTGTTTGCATTTGATCCTCACAAGTTCTTGTGTTCTTCTTGTAACAGGCAACAGTGAGACAGGTCTCACTGTTGGGTGAAGACAATGGCTAATGTTGCTGCCATTGCTCAACAGTGTTAATGGTCCAGTTTGGGTGAAGACAATGGCTAATGTTGCTGTCATTGCTCAACAGTGTTATTCTTGTTGTGTTATTTGCTCAACAGTGTTAATGGTCCAGTTGGGTGAAGACAATGGCTTATGTTGTTGCCTTCTTGCAAACTGTCATCGCTTTGCATGTGACAATCACCCCCCCTTACTCTGCTTTTTCTATCTTCTTGGAGACCTAAATGTCTAACCATGCTCCTTTTTCATGTTCCCCTTTTTCAGTTCCTTTGGATTTATTGTTGCACTAAATTTTGAGCTCCATCTTGTATTTGTAGATATTTGCGAGTCCAATGTATGAATTTATGGACACAATTTATGGAATCAAAGGAAGTGCATTGGCTTTTCGCAACTTGTCATTCAAAATTATGGTGACATTTGTTGCTGCTTTGCTACCATTTCTTGGTGAATATTTTACAGAAGCTGAATTATCTTCATCATCTTCCGCTTACGTTTGTCCTTGCAAACCACATGTACCTCGGTTGCATGTCTGTCGCAGCAGCAGTTGCTGCCTTGAGGCTTATTGCAGTAGACTCCACACCTTACCATTTCTTTGCCGATTTATGAGCATCAATGTTAATTCAATCAGAAATTTGATCTCTCATTATTGTAACTGCGTAGTTCAAGGTTTCAATCACTGTACAAGGTAGGATTGCCACTGCGATGATATCGATGTATGAATTCGAAAGGGGATCGTTGTAATTGATGATTTAGTGCTGAGTTTGTAGATGCTTGCACACTTGAATTTCATTGAATTTCAATCTATATTTACTAAGCCATATTGCAATGACATTAATTTTATCCATTCTTCCTCTTACTTTTTCTTCCCATGTTTAACAGCTGCAGGTGAA